ATGTGACACAATATGTGATCCACGGGGTCCAAAAATTGTATACTAGGAAATTACACAACTTTTATCTAAAAAAAGGTCCAACCTTGATTCTTGATCCTAAGTCTTCTTTTTTTGGCGTAAATTCTGTCATATTCTTTTTTTCTTCGATAACTCATAGTCACAGTATTGAAATATGATTTAGATTCTTGGCAAAGAGGCACGTGTGACGTGTTTTGCAGCGACACAACACTTAAGAATTCGCGGTAAAAGTGAATTCTGAAATATATTCAGCGGCATTTCTGTAAAGTATTATCATAAGGAAGACGATAAAACAGGGCTAATATGAAAAATTAAATAAAAATAAAAAATTCAAATCTCTTAAAAGGAACTTCTAAGTTTTACAATATGAAAAAAATTAATTATAATGAAAAATTTAGATGTGATGAAGATGAATAGCTGAGACCCTCGAGAAGGGGATGTTTTAAACGATGGTGTATTTTTGGACCTACGCCCATCCCCTCTCCTGCCCATCCGACCTACAAGCACGTGGTTTTAACAGCTGTGGTAGGTCATACATTGTAGGTCGGATGGGCACGTTAAAAACAGCATATTCGTGCATCCGACCTATACTTTAAGCTGTCGCTATGGACACGTTAGTTATAGGTCTGATGGGCCTTTTTCGTAGGTAGGATGGGCATTTTTCCTAGGTCGGATGGGCACTTTTCGTAGGTCAGATGGGCATTTTTCGTAGGTCGGATGGGCATTTTTCGTATCGGTCGGATGGGCATTTTTCGTAGGTCGGCCGGGCACTTTTTGTAGGTCAGATGGGCATTTTTCATAGCGCTCAGCCAATTGACATGTGGCCGCAGCGCTCGGCCCCCTATAGCCATGTCCTAGCCGCAGTGCTCAACCCAGCAATGAGCTTAACCTAACCTAACCCTAAATATTCACCGATTTTATTAAAATTTGTTGAATTAAAGATCTTTCATGGCCGCAGCGCTCCGCCCCTTAGTCAGTCCTAGCCACAGCGCTCAGCCTAGAAATGAGCTTAACCTAATTACCTAACCAATTAAATATGCACTAATATTTTATTAAAAATTGTTAAAGGCTTGCATATAATATGCATATAGCTATAACAGTTGTTTATCAAGTATGCGGGGGGGGGTGGAGATTTTAGATGAAAGGGAAATACTACGGTAAAATTTGAAAATAAATGGCGCAAAGCACCAAGAAAATTTTCAACTATACTTTTTAAGGGGGAAAACACCCCTTTGACGATGAGGGCAAGCCCAAACACCTGATTTTTAATTTGCTCATATAGATCCCATGGGGGGGGAACGAGGACTACTGCCCCCCCCCTGTATATGCGTCTGTGCATAATGCATATAGCTATCTATGGTTGTTTATCAAGTATGTAGTGGGGTGAAGATTTTAGATAAAAGGGAAATACTAAGGTAAATTTTGAAAATAAATGGCGTGAAGTGCCAAGAAAATTTTTAACTACACTTTTTAAGGGGGAAAACACCCCTTTGACGATAAGGGCAAGCTCTTTTTTTACCCAGAACACCTGTTTTTTACCTTTGCCCAAAAATCCCAGGGGGGGGCAGGGCCCCCCTGGGATGCCCAGGGGGGGGAAAGAGGACTACTGCCCCCCCCCCTGTGTACGCTACTGACCCAATTGATGACTGCAGAAAATATTGGATTCAAAAAGTTGAGTTTTAGTCGAGTTTTTGATAAGTAGGTTTCAACAGTGGAGTTTAAGTCGAGTTAAAGTGGAGTTTTAAAGTGGATATTTGATCTCCTAGTTTTTATACTGACTTGGTAAAAACTGAGATTCAAAAAGTCCAGGTTAAATCGAGTTTATTCACCCAGATTTCACCCAGTTGATAAGTGGATTTCAACAGTGGAGTTTAAGTCGAGTTAAAATAGAGTTTTAAAATGGATATTTGAACTCCTAGTTTTCACCCTGACTTGGTAAAAACTGGGATTCCAAAAGTCAAGTTTAAGTCGAGTTTATTCACCTAGATTTCACCCAGTTGACAAGTGGATTTCAAAAGTGGAGTTTAAGTCGAGTTAAAGTGGAGTTTTAAAGTGGATATTTGAATTCCCAGTTTTCACTCGAGTTAAAGTGGAGTTTTGAAGTGGATATTTGAACTCCCAGTTTTCACCCTAACTCGGTGAAAACTGGGATTCAAAAAGTCGATTTTAAGTCGAGTTTATACACCCAGATTTCACCCAGTTGGTGACTGGAATTCAAAAGTGGAGTTAAAGTCGAGTTTAAGTGGAGTTTTGAAGTGGAGTTTAGAACAACTAGTTGACATCTAGTTGTAACATCCACTTCTGTTTTCTGGGATCTAGTATACAGTCCTATTTAATATATTAGGTTTAAACACCTGGGTACTGGGTACTATCTAGTGAACAGTCCTATTTAATATATTAGGTTTAAACACCTGGCTACGGGGCACTATCTAGTATATAGTCCTATTTGATATATTAGGTTTAAACACCTGGCTACGGGGCACTATCTAGTATACAGTCCTATTTAATATTTTAGGTTTAAACACCTGGCTACGGGGCACTATCTAGTATACAGTCCAATTTAATATATTAGGTTTAAACACCTGGCTACGGGGCACTATCTAGTATACAGTCCTATTTAATATATTATGTTTAAACACCTGGCTACTGAGCACTATCTAGTAAACAGTCCTATTTAATATATTAGGTTTAAACACCTGGCAACGGGGCACTATCTAGTATACAGTCCTATTTAATATATTAGGTTTAAACACCTGGCTACGGGGCACTATCTAGCTGCTGATGTAGACGAAGATCCTACTTCAGACAATATGAGAGACAAACTCAGAGGTAAGTTTTTTCTTTTTTAAACATTTTTTTGAGATCAGAAAAAGTTTTGGTCTGTTTAAACTGATTTGTGTTTTAATTTTCAATTTATTGAGGAAATGATTTCAAAACTAAATTCCTAAATTAAGATCTTCAGTGGCATTCAAGGGTCGTCTGAATTTTCATTAATAGTCCATTTTCATATTTTTTTTTACAGATTCCTTTGGTTCTGTTTATCATCTTGTATCTGTTCCTTATTCTCATGATCTTGCTTCCTTGTTTGAACTAGATCCTACAACACTAACCAGCAGGTAAAGCAGGAACAGTCTCTTGAAATAAAAGGCTAATTTTCCCTTATATTCAATTTAATAACATCGTTTCTCTCAGTTAGTTAAAAATGATAACTAAAAGGAGTTACAAAGTCACAAATTCTTACCAGTAAATACGCTTAAAATACATTTTGTGTTTGGAGTGGTCAGAGCCATGTACTCTTATTAATGACGGAAAGTCTTTAAATGATTAAAAGGATAGTGATGATGATGATAATGATAATAATGGTCACACTGATAATGTTAATGATAATAGTGAACGAATAATGATGATAGTTACAATAATGACAATTTTAATGATTATGATAATAAATATGATAATAATTATATGATAAAATTATAATGAAAATGATATTGATAATAATAGTAAAACTGATAATGGTAATTATGATACTAATGATAACGATAGTGATACTATTGACAATGGTAGTAATGATAATGAAAGTAATCATAATGATAATAATCATAATTATTGCAATCATAATGATAGTAATCATAATGATAGTAATCATAATGATAGTAATCTTAATGATAGTAATCATAATGAAAGTAATCATAATTATAGTAATCATAATGATAATAATCATAATATAGTAATCATAATGACAGTAATCATAATGATAGTAATCATAATGATAGTAATCATAATGATAGTAATCATAATTATAATACTCATAATGATAGTAATCGTAATGATAGTAATGATGATGATGATGATGTTGATAATTGTGATAATAACGAAAACATGGATAATAATAATAATAGTAATAGTACTGATGATTATGATGATAATGATAATAAAGACAATATGGATAATAATGACAAGAATAGTGATGATGATGATGATGATAATAATAATAACGACAATAAGGATATTAACGATAAGAATAGTGATGATGATGATGATGATAATGATAACGACAATAAGGATATTAATGATAACAATAGTGATGATGATGATGATAATGATAATAACGACAATAAGGATATTAATGATAAGAATAGTAATGATGATGATGATGATAATAATAATAATAATAATAACGACAATAAGGATAATAATGATAAGAATAGTAATGATGATGATGATGATAATAATAATAACGACAATAATGATAATAATGATAAGAAAGTGATGATGATGATTATAATGATAATAACGACATTAATGATAAAGAAATTCAAATTCTCTTTTTTTCAAAGAGGAGATTCACTTGTTCCACAGAATTCTTACGTCCGACTTCGTCACTTGGTTACTTCAAGTTGGGTTCATTCCACTTCTATACCCATAGGTAAGATAGGCACTGTCACTCCATGTCGGGTTCATTCCACTTATATAGGTAAGATAGGCACTTTGTCTCTTCAAGCTGGGTTCATTCCACTTCTATACATATTGGTTAGATAGGCACTTTGGCACCTCAAGTCGGATTCATTCCACTTCTATACCCATAGGTAAGATAGGCACTTTGGAACTTCAAGTTGGGTTCATTCCACTTCTATACCCATAGGTAAGAAAGGCACTCTGGCACTTCACGTTGGGTTCACACAATTTAAAATCGGAATTTTAGGTTTCCATTTGGGTATTTTATTTTCAAATGCAAGAAGAAAAACATTTTTTTTTGAGGTAAATAGAATGTTGAAAAAAGTAGGTTTTTTATCAATGTGCGTTTCTTCAGCTTATGATATCTGGAGAATTGATTATCGTGATAGTTGGTCTTTTTACTGAAAAGTCCCTCCTATATATTTTTTTTAACTATAAATTATAATAACTAACTTCTATTCGGTCGTTTTGAAAAGACGTTTTCTTATCAAAATATCCTGAGTCCTAATTCTTCTTATCTTTTAATTCAATTTTCCTTTTAGATTTAGATGCATTTCTAATGGATTGCATGTCATGCTTGTGTTTTAAATTTAAATGTAAACAGAAATAAAAGTTTTAAAAAAATATTTAAGAATATAGAAAAAAAAAATAAAAGATTTAATTATTTTTTTTCACTTCTCGGCCATCCATCAAGTTTACGGGCTCATACACTACAAAGCACTTCTGCAATCTTGGTAACCAAAGAATGCAAATTTTTGCAGATTCATTTTTGCATCATTCAATGCATGTTTTCATTGTTTTGCGGACCAAATTGCGACTTTTTTTTTGCAGAGGCTAATCTGATACTTTACCATATTTGGTTTGTCCCCCCCCCCTCCTTGTAGAGAACTTTGAGAAATTACAAGAAATAATTGTTCAAAAAGAGGTTGTAAGCTTAATTTTAAGTAACCCTCATGCATGCAAAGATGGCAATTCCCGATTTACAACGGTACCCTTGAAACCTTTGTCTGATAACGTATGAAAGAGATATCAATGTTTTTGTTTTTGTTTTTTAAACTGTTTATTTTCATTTGTGGTTTCTCTGCGAAAGGGAATTCCGCATTTCTTGTTAAAATTTCAAGGGTACCGTTGAAAATCGGGCATTGGCATCTGTACACGGAGGGTCCCTTTAAATTAAGCTTACAGTCCCTTTAAATACGTCGCTATTTTGTACGAAGTTAATTTTCAACAAACTATTTAGAAGCAGAAAAAGAAGAGTTTAACTTTGTAGCTCCTTACTAATTTGTTTTAACTTTTATTGGTCGACTCGGTTCCAGTAGAACAACTTGCAGTATTAGTTGTTGTTGCAATGCACTTTGGGTCATATCATGAATATGCAGTGTTCAATCAGATACATTCAGATGCAGAGTGTCTCAATAAATATGGAAATTAAAAGACAGCTTTTAGGTCGTTTTTGATTTACGCGGCATGCGCTAGGAATATTGTAGACAGAGGGTACAAAATAATATACTAGATAAAGAAATATCTACGTTTATCTCATAGATGCTGGCAATGTTGTTCAACATTCTATGTTGCGAAAAGGACGCATTTATGAGGACGGACAAAAAAGGACGCAATTATGCATATCTACATTGAGATAAAAGTGGACGCATTTATACGGATCCACAAGGAGGACTGACAAAAGAGGACACATTTATAAATATCTACATAGAGAACACATAAAAGTGGACGCATCTATGCGGATCCACAATGATTGAGGACGCACAAAAGAAGACACATTTATAAATATCTACATTGAGGACACATAAAAATGGACGGATTTGTGCGTCCTCAATGATTGAGGACGCACAAATTTTAAATATCCACACTGAGAATGTAAAAAAGAGGATGAAATTATAGATTCACTTTGAGAACGCATATAAATGCGGCATTTGAACAGATTTAGATATATAATACTAATTTAAAATATTCGGACAAAAAAGAAAGTCCGAAGGGTAATTTTTTCCTCCCTATTTACCCTCCCCCCGCCAAAAAAGAATTTTTTTTTTTTCATGAAATGTTTGAGAAATTTGTATATATCTTGTTTTTTTTTTGTGTGGCCCAGTTGATCATAAAAACCCACTTAACTGCATTTGAGACAAGTAAAATGTAAATTTATATAAATAGGGACCTAAAAACAAAACATTAGTAGGACCTACAGAGGAGAGGGGTGAACTAACTTTGAAAATATTAATACAATCTCTCACCATTGTAAATACTAGAGACTTAAAATACTTTTATACCCTCTATAGTTTAAATTTCGGGGTATTTACAGAAACCTTCATACTTTTCCCACCAGTTCAAGGATCAAATAGAAAATATTGGGCTAAANCGGATTTCGAGAGTTAAATATTTTTGTTTGTAAGGTTTAAAGGTACGGCACACTAATAACATTATATATATATATATATATTTCTTATAAAATGGATCTCTTGTACGTTCCTTATGAAATTTGTCCTTTGTGCTAATTATATTTGCAGGTCCGCGACCTGGATTTCGCGAATGATGCTTGCAAGGTTCTTGAGAATGTTTCCTCTCAGCTTGAAAAAGGGATTATTTCCCAAAATGAAAGGAGAACTCTCACCACCCTTCTTCAAGGAAAATATGCATTATATATATATGAATAAAGAGAATGGGAGGATATGGGATTCTACTCCTTTAAGTTACTGTAAACAGGACAAAACTTTATAGTAAGTAATTTAAATGACTATATTGTTGAATACGAAAAAACAGTCAGAAAAAAAGAAGAAAAATAATAATGAAATAATTAATTCTATTAGATTAAAGGATTTGGTTGTTTTACGGTAAGTGCCCATTTATTGCTTACAAAATGTTGTTTGTTTACAATAAAATCTGTTCTAGAGTATTTCTATTACGTCACAGTTAAATGTAAACAAACTTTCATGACAGGAAAGTTATAAAGTCATATTTAATTTCACTTTATTTCACTATTCTACAGTGGTCAATAGAATTAAACGGAGAAGGAAGACGACCAGAAATAGAAGTTATAAGCTATAATGATTTTATGTTAAAATAGTTTAGAAAAGAAATGTCATCTCAAAAAAATGCAAAATCATAGATTTGAATTTACATCCTTTTTTCCCTTCTATTTGTCAGAATTGATCTTTATTATTATTTGATTGTTTTTACATACTTTTCAGAAATAAGGTATTTCAACTTTTTATATTTAGAGGTTGAACCGTCTTGTATAAACAGCTCCGTACTGAGGGACAGACAAAAGCTGCTCAGGGAGCAGTATATTCTGAAGCAGCTCTTTAGGATACTACAGGCCCCATTCCTCGAGTCAAAGGTATTTTTTTTATGAACGGGGGGGATAGATAATTTTTCTTTAAGCTCATTCTCTAAAGGTAGTTTTTTTCTTTAAAAGTTTAAAATTGCAATTGTGATTTCCTTAAAAAAGTGACTTGCGGATTTCTGCTGCAGAAAAAGGAGTTTAAAATGCCCGGTACCGTTATGAATCAGGCATATGCCCCTCTTAAAATGATGGTTCACTTGAAAATAAAAATGACAATCTATGAAAATAATGTGATGACTAATTCGCGAAGCTTCTCCTTTAAAAGTTTTAAATAAATAAAAACAAAATCCCTCATTTCCCTAAATTCTGCGCAGTCCGTTTAGATGATTGCAAAATTGAATTCATAGAAATGTCACATATGGTGGAAAAGTGATTGTTGGAAAAATTCCTTGTCATTCATGAAATTCACTTGAATATGTAAACCTATTCCAAGCTATTTTCATTGTGTTCTTCAGGAACATTCTGGGATGATTTCTATCCAAGAAACTATGCATTTAAAATAAAAAGAAACCAATTAACATTGTAAAAAATATGAGTATGAGTATGAGTTCCTATTTTGTGACGTTTGAACACAAAAAAGATTCTTTTTATAGTCCATTCATTTATTTATCTAAAGGAAAAAACATCTAATTTTTTGTTTGTTCTCAGGGACAAGAAATATCTGATTTATTTGAATATGTAGAAAATTTTCATTTTCATATATTTTTTTAGAACGGAGACGGTCCGTTGCTAAGAATAGATGAACTATCAGATCCCCGGCATGCTCCCTACAAACATATATTCAGGAACATCCGTTATTTTTACATCTGAGAATGGAGAAATTTAACAATTTTGCAATTTCCAAAATAATAAGTATTTATAATACAATTATATTTGTCCTGAGTCTTGTTTTTAATTAATTATTTTAGAGTTTTCTTAAATTACTTTTAGGATATCCGGGAACCAAAAAAGTTTAAAGCACATTGATTTAATATTCAGCTGATTGAGTAAGTCAGCATTTTTGAATTAACGGGAAAATTTAAACTCTTTGCATTTGCAAAAATGTGGGAATGATATCGCTTCACAATTTTGTATAGTGCTCTTTCAGAAACAATGCAAATATAAAGATATAATTACAAATCTTTTTCTGATTGATTTATGCTCCCTTCCATTTTCGCGAACACTCCCTTTAATCCCACAATAGATTTTAACCCCCCCCCCCCTTTTTACAATCATGTTAATTCCTTGATTAAATTAATATTTTTAATCCAAAAATTGAATTAAGTCCCCCCCCCCCCTTAAACTTTTGCGAAGAATCCCTTTATTCCTACGATAGATTTGAACTTTCACTTTAGTGACCAATCCTGTTCATCTCACTTGATTAGATTCCCCTTCTTACTTTCTTCCAAATCGCCCGATTGACATTAATTTCACTTTCACGAACAATTCCTTCAATTCCAAGATTGAATTGAACCCCCTTTCACGTTTGCGAACAATCCCGTAAAATCTTCGTTTAATCCCCTTTAAAGTTTTGCAAAGAGTCCCTTCAATCCCAAAATTGATTTGAATTCCCATTTCACTTTTGCATACACTCCCTTTATTTTTATCACCGTTTCAATTATGCGCACAATTGTTTAATTCCACGATAGATTTGAATCCCTCGATCACTTTTGCGAAGAATACCTTTAATCCCAAGATTAAACTAAATCCCCATTTCACTTTTGTGAACACTCCCTTTAATAACACGATTGATTATTGATTATTAATCCGTTCATTTCACTTTTGCAAAAAATTCCTCTAATCCCATGATAGATTTGAATCCTCTTTAACTTTTGCAAACAAACTTACAATCCCACGATTGATTAAATCCCCCCACCACTTAAACATTCACGAAAGTCCCCTTAATCCCAAGATTGATTTGAGAAGGATCCCTTGAATCCCTGGATTTATTTGAATAACTTGTTGTCGTGTTTAGGCTCTGCTATAGAATCCTCCGTCTTTCTCAAAAGGACTACAGGCAATTCTTCATTTTATAATTTCTTTAAATAGATTAATTTTTGTAATTTAGCCGTTTATTTGTGTTGTGGCTCGGTCTTCATTTCCACGAAATGTTGGCCGACTGTTTTTTTTATTTTGACTGTACTACCCTTAACTGAAACCCTTAATAACGAATACATCGGAAGAATTTATCAAATGTCGTCTTGACAATTTTTCAATGAGTTTTATATTACATTACGTAAATTTCAGTATTTGCGAAAATAAATAAATAGCCATGAATATGCGGGAACAGTTTTAAAAAGTTACATATAATCATTTAATTAAAAGCCTAAATATTTGCAACATTCCATTATCAGAAAGTGAAGAATACGACATTTGATGATTTCTTTCGATGTATTCTTTATTAAGGGTTTCACTGTATTTAAATTTGTTAATTAAAAATTTTTGCTCAAATATTTAAAATTAAGTATAAATTATATTTATCAATAATAATTTCATGTTATTTTTTTTTAATACGAACCAGGCCAAAATGTTCTGCATGTATGTCTTAAAATTTTAAGTTTCTTGAATCTTATAATTTTCGTAATTTTTGAGCTCTTTTCAACTTGTTGTCTTTTCCTTCTTTGTTCATGATTTGTTTCATTTTTGACCCGATTTATGAAAAATTTTGTGTTGATAAACAACATAAGCAATAAACATTATTATTAATATTAATTTTATTATTATTATTATTATTTTTCATGTTTAGGAAGAACCAGGAGTATATTGCTAAACATTTTGGATTTATGCAAAAGCAGATTGGCTACGATATCTTGGCCGAGGACACCATGACCGCTCTACTACATAACAATAGGAAGCTGTTAGAGAAACATATCAAGGAGCGTTATTTGCTCAAATTTATTCATTTAAAGGGACTGTTCATTTATTTCCGAATACTAAGTAAAGTCATTACGCACCAACTTTTGGAGTAAGACACATAAGTTCTCTCATGTGCGGATGGACGAATTGGGAAAAAGTTGCCTAAAAATATTTATTTTTAGAAGTAACAAAATCCGCGAAGAAGAAAGGTGATTTACAATTGTTACTGGGATAGTTTTCCCAAAGTGGCTCCCATGGGGCAAATTTCCTCTTATTGGCTCGCCGAAATACTTTCCTATAAGTGAAATGAAACCAAAATAACTTCGAACGGATCTTTTTATTGTTAATCCGTTCGAAAGCAATAAATAATTTGTACCCTTTTGGTGTGGTGACGAAACAAGCTTATTTCTTGGTGTGACAATTCAAGCTTATTCCTTTTGAATATTTCTTAAGTCAATTAATTCCCTAAATCTCAAGATACCGCCGCGCAGTATAAATGAAACACTGAACACAATCTAATCTATAAGTTTCTACCTACAATTATCTTAATTCAAAAGTTTGAGTCAATAACTTAATATAGGCTGATGAGATAGAGACATTTGTTCGGTTGGTTCAGAAAAATATGAAAACTTGGGATTCAAGATTCCTTGATTATCTTTCTGATCTTTGCATTTCAAACAATGTCGCCATTCCGGTCACCCAGGTAAGAAAAGACTTTCTAGCATTTATATATATAACAGAAATCTTTTGGATGTCCAATCATAACTCACAAACCCCTAGCCATATTTACCGCAAATATTTTGATTAGGGAATTCGGTAGAACCGCGGGGATGTCCTTAGATTGGTTTAAATTTTCTTAGTTGCGACAAAAGGCAAGCGCGGGCAAACGGTGGGAATAACTATTAGTACCTGGGGCGACGCTAGGTTTTTAAACTATTTTATAACAAAATTCTATTTCTATTTAAGGAACTGATTTGTAAGAGTGTTCTCAGCGAATCTAACTCAAATATTCTGATTCAAACTCGTTTAAGTAAGGGGGTTGCTCAGATTCAGGAGGAAGGAGATCTACAGGTAGAAAATGTTATTTTCAGGCTGAAATATAAAAAATCTTTTCGGAAAATTGCGCAATTCACGCATTTTTTTTGGAGGATTTGTGTTGCTGATGTTTCGGAATAGGAGCACGATGTTAAACCAGTTTTATGTTTAATGTTTAATTAGTTTAACTGTAGCTTTTTAGTTAACTTATTAAGTTAAATGGGCCTGTGTATACTGCACAATTGCTGTTTTTCATATTTATTGATAGTTATACAGTGGCCTCCTATTCCACATTGTTTCTGGGACCGACTGTTCTCACCCTGTATTATACTAGTATTCTACCTGGAGTATAGAAGGAACACCAGCTGAATATCAGATTCTTCATAAATTCTTTAAAACTCAAGTTGTAAGCCATAGTTTAGACCTGCACTTAGGATAGTTTTTAATAGATTTTGATAAAAATATTAACATGTCAAAACTGTAATCTGTTCAAGTTTGCCTTTATAAAAATCGACATGTTTATTCTAAGAGAGAAAAAAAAAAAACGATTGTTTAACAAGTTTCTTTTGGTTCGTTTTTTGCTTATATTTTCTCTTCTGGTTAAAATTTGGCATAGTCTAAAATTTGAAATTTGAAATTTGTAAAACTTCTCAGATTTTCAAGTTTTCAAATTGAACTCACTTATTGCACATCACTTTATCCTGCACTGTTTTAACTTTAATAATCTATTTTGTTTAAATTTTACAATATTTTTAAAATATTCATATGATATCAGATGGAAATATTTGAGATTTCTATATTTCTTGTTCTTCATTTCATTTCTTGTTCTAATCTTCGTGCAATAAATATTTGATTTGATTTGATTTGTTGGTCCATCCTTCAATCATACTTTGGCTAATTTTAAAAATAAAAAGAAAGAATTTTTTGGATGTCCTTGTAGTTTGCCGTGTTACAAGTAAGAACTATTTTTGAATGATCTTGCTTTTTTCTGAGCCATCAATTTGAAATTGCTGAGTATCTTGCTTTCATTTTTCTGAACTCTGTATACTCTTGCATCTATTTTTTTTCTGAACTCTGGAAAGAATCTTTTTTTATCTAGTCACACATCTGTTTTCTGTTCTTCTCTTTTAGATCTACGCATTCTAATCCCTTGTAATCAATGGAAAAATGTATTTTGACACATATTTCTGATTCATACTATTCTTTAATTTGATATCTTGGCGCCAGAAATATCAATATATATCCTGCACTGTAGTCCTAGAGTAAGGGAGAGTTCTCGAAGTTCTAATTGAATCCTCGTATAAAGAGCGTGATCAAAGATTAAACCTATATCCTTTTATTGATTACAGAGATATATTTTCGTTTCTGTACTAAAAATCTACTACTGGTTGACAAGTAAATTTCTACATCTTAGATAAACAAGAACATAGCTGACACTTGTTTATTCCCAATTGAAAATATATTTCTTCTTTGTGGATCCTTGATGGAACATGGTGTATTAAGATTTAATTAAAACTACTTTTAGAGCCATGTTTCCATTTTAATATTGCAGGTTTTTATTTATTTTTATCAACAACAGTTAAATAAAAGGATACTGAGACAAATTATGATTTTAAAGGGACCGTTCACTTATTTGGGTAATTTCAGGGTAAACTAAACAGCCTATTCGCTGTTGATTGGTAATAGTCTTACTTTTCAAAGACAACTGTGGCCGGAGAAAAACCCGATTTTTCGTTCAGAATTCGAGCGCAAAAAGGACGGTCCCTCTCTATAGACACTATTTGATGTTTTTTTTCAGTAACATGAGCCCAATAACATTTAAATTTATTATATTTTAATGTCATTATGTGTTCGTTATTATGTGCTAAAATCTGAAAACTTTTGATATTTGAGTTAGCAAGAAATTTACGTTTTTCGTATTAAAACATGTAAAATGTGTTTACAAAGACGACGTCTCTACGACAATCAATTAATTATTACTCGTATTTTGGTTCGTAGATTTTGTATATTTTTTTCCCGTATGTGCACAACTTTTCATTTGTCATGCCACGTTCAATTCAGCTTTTTACACAGGCAATACACAATTTTGAATGCGATAAAATAGTGTTATTTTAGAAATAGAAAGTTAAAAACAAAAAAAAATTAAAGATAATGACATTTACAATTAACGATTAGATACTACAGTTTAATTTTATATTCGAAATTTATTTTGATTAACAACATGCTGAAAAAAACATCAATTAGTGTCTATAAAAAGGGACCGTCCCTTTGCGCTCGAATTCTGAACGAAAAATCGACTTTTTCTCCGGCCACAGTTGTCTTTGAAAAGTAAGATTATTACTAATCAACAGCGAATAGGCTGTTTAGTTTACCCTGAAATTACCCAAATAAGTGAACGGTCCTACGGTCTACGACATATGGGTTAAAGAAATTGGGATTTAAAAATCCGAGTTTGTGGCAAAAACTCAATTTTTTTGCATCTTATTATTCCGCCCATATGCGTAACTTTGTGCCAGTGACGCCCCATTGCAACCATTATGGTGGTGCAGTTAGATTAGAGCTGAACTCTGACTGCTACGGGACGATACTTGATAATATTATTATTTATTATAGGCGTAATTTTGTGTCATAGAGGGGGGAGGCTGAACAATATCCGTTAAAAGGACTTAAAAATTGGAATTTATTCGATAAAATATCACTGGAAAAAGTTCAAAGGGCACTGGAAAAAAATTGCTTATGCTTTCTTTTTTCCCCCAACATTTGTGTTTTTTATCAATACTTGCTTCTTTTTTCCCCCAACATTTGTGTTTTTTATCAATACTTGCTTCTTTTTTCCCCCAACATTTGTGTTTTTTACCAATACTTGCTTCTTTTTTCCCCCAACATTTGTGTGTTTTTTTATCAATACTTGCTTCTTTTTTTTTGAAAAATTAGAACTAGTTCTCTAATAAAGGGCACTTTAGATTTCATTAAATCACTTACAACAATTTTCTCAAAACAATTGGTCAATGATGCAAAAATTAGTTATCGTAACAATAGATAGATGTTAGAAATAGCATATTTTATTAAGTATTACTGAATAACATTTTCAAGAAAATGATATGCATCGAGTATAGAGTTCAATTTATGTTTTTTTTGAAATATCATGATCACCAAGGGCAGATCTTATTTGGAGTCCGTCCTTGTTACCCATAGTAGCGAATTAGGTCAAGACAAGGGGTTTCATTGAAACAGCTGACTTCCCTTTGTAGATGTTAATTGTCCATTGTTTTAATTTATATATAAGAATATATCTACAAAAGATGAGACTTGAAAGAAGATTGAACAGATTTTATTCATCATTTTTTTAACAGTAACCCGCATAGAACAAGCGACGCTGTTTTAGAGTCTGAAAACGACCCGCACGACCCCAAAAACGGGCGCCTGCCCGACTCTATTTTAGTAATAATAAGAGAGTCGTTTTTAGACCGAAAAGACCCTGAATCCGTCTCTCCTCAAAACGGATGGGTGTCGGGTTTCTGTCACGGCAGGGGGCCATTATCTCTCTGGGGTTGGGACATATGGAGGGGTGCTTGAAGAAAGGGATGGGGAGAGGAATTCTCAAATATTTTAATGGTTTTTGCTCATATTACATATATTTGGTGAAATTTGATATTTTTTTCCAAAAACAGAGGGTCTGAGGAGGTCGGCCCGGCGTCTAAGACTAGGTTTCAGACTCTAAGATTCTACCCGGGAATGGGTTTCTGCAATAACCATTAAAAGGTTCAATTAAAGCCAGAAAGCTTAATATCTTTAGATTGTTATAGTTTGCAAAGAGTTTTAGGTCGTCTTTATAGTCTCATCCTTTGTAGATAACCACTCACCAGTGTATATACATTGAGACTTCAAGGTTTTTTTTGTTCTTAATTATTTAGTAACCATTAAAATACTCGATTAAATGCGGAAACAAAGAATCAATCTTCAATATTTTGAGAGTTTTGGGTCGTCTTTACATTCTCATTCTTTGTGGGTAACCTTGTATTTATTATCTTTCTATCTATCTGGAGGTTGTGACAAGTGGTTGTGAAGATGTCCTTCTATCCTGGGAGGATGGATACCAAAGATCTCTACCTGACCTCGCCAGGGAATATTACTTACATCATGCTTAACCTCAAATATTCATAATAAAAGGGACCAAGATCGCATTGTTTGTAATATCGTTGATCTCAAAGGTTTTATCTTGATATCCAATATGGGCACTTTAACATGCTTAATCCCTCAGCCAAAGAACTGACCCTCCGGGGTATGTCGCAAGATATCGAAGAAGAATATAATTAAACCCTAGAATTGCACAAGATAGAATTCAATCCTTGATACCAAGATTCACAATAAAAAAGTTCTAAAAACTTAATGGTGGATATCGAAATGAATGCTTGATCTCCTCTTTTTTCTTAATCTCCAGATTTATTAACCCATCTTGATTAAGGATATCCCATTTAAAAGTTCCCAGCTCTGTAGACATAGTTTATAATTCAATAGTGTTACCGTGTAAACTTCTACCAGAGAACTAATGGGGAAGTTATATTCTCTATCTGTAACCTGTTAAATTCTGACAATTTTCTCATTGGCTTTGTAGCTTAAATGCACAAAGAAACTAGAAATGAAATAAATTGGTCTGATGGAAAAAGGAATTTTAATAACGACAAAATATCGCATTCGAAATATCAAACTAATTTTTTAACTAAATATATTTTATTCTCCTCTGGCGGTTTGTGATTAAGTAAATGATTCAGAGCGGCTAGAGCCGGTAATACGGAGGCATCCCTCATTCTGGAATATTACAGGAAACATTATTTATAATTTTTTAGTATTTTCTATCAAATAAAATAAAATCATATCGGACTTTTAAAAGTGAGTAACTAAAGAAAAGTCATCCTTTAATCCAAAAAACTTGAAATTCGATCAGCATAAAATGTTTTAATTTAAATGCTGTGATAACAAATAAAAAAAAATAATCATTTATTTTTATAATTATTTAAATGCTTTATATAATTTTGCTTTCATCAGACATCAGCTGGACTTGTTTTCGAACATGTGCTTAGATCGTCAATACCTGGCGATCAATAAACTGTCAGAACATCTCGATCATCATCTCATCCTGAAGTAAGCCATTTTTTTTCTGTAATTTGACAACCATTATTTTCCCAAAGTTACTGGATCTTATGTTATTTAATGATAAAGTAAAATAGCAAAATCACTGAATTTTATCAATCTAAAAACGTTAAGATATTGATCTAATTAAAGCAAATTTATTAAAAGCTCGTGTCAGGTAATAATAAAGATAATAATTTTTTATTTTAATTTTCTTTTAGTTCTTAAATTTGGACAACCTTAATTTTAATTTCATTTCCTTCTGTTATTGATTTTTTAGTAATATAACCCCCTTAAAAGTTTAAAAACTCCAGATAATTTGTTTAACTTTCCAGTTTTTTTTAACTTGAGAATTTGATTAAAAAATACCAAGAGATACAGTTTTAAATTAAAATCAAAGGTTCTGTACGCGAAATTTCAAATGACCCTCCATGCGTGGTAAATGTCCGATTTACAATGGTACCCTTGAAAGATTTGTCTGATCAATATGATGATGATGTTTTTATCTCCTAACTTTTAGAGTTAGGATAATGACGATATCTTCCACTTTTTTTGATCAGATTCAATGGTTTTATTACCATCTTTGCACGGAGAGTCACCTGAAATTACGCTTCTAGTCTTTTTACGTGAATTAAAGATTTTAATATTTTTCTTTAAGATGCATGGAAAATGACCAGCTCCCGTTCTACCTTCGCGCATCATTTTGCCGGCTTATGCTCCACATGCACGTTGATAGGGATCCTCAGGTGCTTTCTTATTCATATGCACGTTGATAGGGATCCTCAGGTGCTTTCTTATTCTTATGCACGTTGATAGGGATCCTAAGGTGCTTTCTTATTCATATGCACGTTGATAGGGATCCTCAGGTGCTTTCTTATTCTTATGCACGTTGATAGGGATCCTCAGGTGCTTTCTTATTCTTATGCACGTTGATAGGGATCCTCAGGTGCTTTCTTATTCTCAAGAAAACGTTTTGAGAGTAAAAATATGCGTCTCTTTTTTGATAATTTATCTTGCATAAATTCTCTGAAATATTAAAAAAAAAGATGGCAGATTTTTTTTCTCATAATTTTCAAACTCATTCAGATTTTTTTGTGGAAATCAAATCACAAATCAGCCTGAAAAAAAATTTCGTCAAAATAAATCTAGATAGGTATTAAAATATCCGTTTTGAAATGCTTAGTTCAAAAAATTAAATTCGTAAAAATCCTCTTAAAAATTAAGAAAATTATGAGCGAAAACCCGGTTTTTGAAAAAAAGTTGTCAGAATATGAAAAAAGCTGTATCCTACTTGATTTTGCTGAACATTAACTGCTGTATAGTAATAACACTGTATTTTGATAGTATTTCACATCACTTCTAGGCACTATAACTGTTCTACAAGAAATATGTACATTTTACAGCAAAAACTTATGTACGTTCGTATATTGTATCCATGTAGTTATACATACAAACATACATACACCTTATAATAGAATTAATTAAAACATAAAATCAAATACGTATGTAAAATGTTAATATACAAATTACATCATTAGAACCTTAATTTAAAATCTAAATGATTTATGTTAAATATATTCTTTGTATGTAGGAGGAGGTTAAGCCTGTTCAGTACGCCAGACTTTGGTAAGTTATAATTGAAATTTAAGTTAAAAATATTCTATAAAAATATCATTCGTTTTTTAAAAGCTTGGTTTCACGTAATACAACTCAATATTGTGAAATGTGAATCCTAATAGTTCAGCTCTCCCTAAAGTTTTAAACGTTTCAACGCAATGTTAAACTTTAAAAGCAATCGTAGGAGGAAATCGTGGTGCGATTTCATTATTGAACGTTAGCAATCTACATGTGTGAAAAAAGAAAAATCCGAAAATTATTTTAACTATAATTTTAAAACTTGCGAATGTTGTTTTAAATTCTAACCATAATTCAGTTGTAAAACCTTTAAAATACCTTGCAGGAGTAATTGAAAACTTGAAAAAAAATCATTAAAATGTATATTTGGTTTAGGTCCGATATTCCATTGCGGTTGTCAATAGTGGACTATGACAGTGGGAATGGTCAAGATCATTCCAGAGAGGACGTTAGACTTAGGTCAGTTAATTCGTTGTTTTTGTTAGACTTAGGTCAGTTAATGTGTTATTTGTGTTAGACTTAGGTCAGTTAATTATTGTTTTTGTTAGACTTGTCAGTTAATTCCTGGTTTTTGTTAGACTTTGGTCGGTTAATTGTTTGTTTACGTTAGACGTAGGTTAGTATATTCTTGTTTTTTTTTGTTAGACTTGCCAGTTAATTGTTTGTTTTCGTTAGACTTAGGTCAGTTAATTCTTATTTTTAGTCCTTTATATCGTATTTTTTGTCCTTTTTTCCTTATTCTTAATTTTTATCTTATCTTATTCTTAAATTTGTTTCTAGGTGTTGAGAAGAATTTATTCTTTGTCACTAACTTGAATTTTTCAATCCCTATATCTTTGCAACCTCATGGTGTAAATAATTGATTTTTCAAACTTAGATTGTTTGATTTAACAGAATTCATAGTTTGAAATATTTACGACATGGGGTTGCACAGATATAGGGATAAGAAAATAAGAGTTTGTGGTAAAGAATAAATTCCTTTGTTGATAATTCCCTTTTGCAATTTTTTTAAAAACAGATAGTATTCTACAGGCGGAGGCCGATTAAAGATTAATTCCAAAGTTGAAAAAGTATACAAAAGTAGCTCTTCTATATATATATACTTTGATTGTCTGGGTGTCTGTCTGTTGGTTTGTGTCCAATAATCGTTAAAACGGCTGAACCGATCGGGCCCAAATTTTGCGTGGGACCTTACATGACCTTTGGGAAGGTTTGTGAATGATCAAAATTTAAAAAATTAGCCTCCTCCAAAATTCGATTTTCATTGAAATTAATCGATTTTTTTTTTATAAAATCCGTTAACTTTTTGTTTTACAAACAATGTACACAAAGAGAAAATGTTCACAGTTGAAATAGAAGGCTAGTATCTTTATATACTTTGCTTGTCTGTCTGTCTTTTTTTCTATCCAATAAACGTCAAAGCAGCTCAACCGTTAGGGACAAAATTTTGTGTGGGACCTTGCATGACCCCTGGGAAGGTTTATGGATGATCAAAATTAAAAAAATTTTCATTAAATTTTGAAAATCCACGAAATCTTTTCGAAAATCCACGAACTTTTTAGTTTGTTTTTGTTTTACGTGTATACAAAGAGAAATTGCACAATTGAAATAGATGAGCGCGAAGCGCCCTGAACGCCTAGTTTATATAAAATTATGTTTGTTAAAGGTTCAGCCCAACCATGAGCTTTGTGGAGGAATACCTGAGGAATGTGGTGGAGAAGATGTGGGCCTTCAGCGACGTCGAGCAGAACAAACTCACGTTCGAGGTAGAAATTCAGCAACAAACGGACAAACAAGAACGAATGAACAACCGAATAAAGGAAACGAAAAATAGACGAATTGACGAATAGACGTATAGACGAATAAATTAAATTAATGAAAAAAGGGATGAAAAGGATGCATGAGCATTTGAATGTGTGTATTTAGGTTGTAAAGCTGGCTAGACATCTCATCTATTTCGGGTTCTACAGTTTCTCAGATCTTCTGCGGATTACAAGAACATTGCTCAGGAAAATAACTATTAGTAAAAACAAGCATGTTTGTTAGTTTTAGAATTATATCGTTTTATATCACGATCGTCGGATGTCCACTGAAGCTGTTATGTTATGGCAGCAAAAATAAAAATTTAGAAGAGAAGAAAATTGTTCATAAGCTGATTTTACGATTTGCAAAATTTAAACAAAATTTTTTATCAATCAACTAATCCAGTCAAAAGCTGGAAAGTCATATAGTTTACAAGCTATAAGGCCTTGCTTCATTCTTGATTTAGAAAAGTCATCTTGTGGTTGACCTTTCTAAAAGCCAGATTTGATTTGATCAGTTTGATCATCGTAATTATCCATTTTGGAAGATACAGTTTTTTAATTTAAGTTTTTTGCAATTTTACTCCGTAAAAACGTCTGAAAGGTCTCAATTGAATCCTAAAAAAATTTTCTACAATACTGCACTCTCAGATTATCTATTATGTCTAACCGGTCACTCCCTTAAAAAATAAAATTTCAGTTTTTCAATTCCTTCCAGTTTTCTGATGTACAATGGTTATGTACTGCAGTATTCTGGACTGTACTGCAGTTACCAGCTTCAACAACGGGAAGATCCCGCTAGGTACCCTCACAACCCTCACAACCAATAAGTTCCCTCTTTTTAAACTTTTTTTTATGGGGTTTTAACAATTTAAGTCACCATTTTGGCCTCTCATACAAGAAGTATTTTAACTCTGCAATTTTTATAGATTTGTTCCAAAATTAATTTTATAGATATTTACGAAAAAAGTTTTAGGGTTTTATCTTCTATAGCCTTAGTTTGCCCTCTTTTGTAGAGACCAACTTTTAAAAAGTTTTTATTTCTATTTTTTCGTCTTTTGTTTATCTTAACAAAACCTTACAAAGCATTGAAAGGGTACTTTTTAGGGTCGCAATCACTGGCAGGTTAGTTCTTGAATATAATCCAAGATGGCGGAATACGCGGCCATTTTAAATTGATTAAAAGATGGCGGATTATGCCACCATTAAAACAAAAGATTAAAAACAAACAAAGTTTCATTTCACAATGGGAGTTGAGGGATAAATTGAGCACAAACAATTTTTTTTTGTAAAATTTAACTACTTGAAAAGATCCAAAATAGGTTCCAATTAGATCTTTTGAATTTGATATGAATCCAATTATAATCTAATAAATTTGTGTAGGTGAAGTTAGCAGTGAGGGAGGGGCTATCAGGTCAAGATTTTAGTTATAAAATAGAATAGAAAAATGATTAACCATAATTCAAATAACTTTATAATCAATGTCAGTCCGTTTACTTCTAGTTCTGTGCAATGTGTATCTGCTATCTAGTTTTATCAGTTTGTAAAAACTTTTTTTTCGGGCGTTCAAAATAGCTGTACAAATAAATTGATGTAGTCTAATCATTATTCAAAATATCATTATCGTAAAATTTTGTAAAGTGTGATTAATTACTTTCAACTTTCAAATGTTATGCGGTTTCAAGTTTAGTTTAGATTCTGGAAAATCGCAGGGCAAAAAGCAAAACATTTGAGTCATCTTATACACTGATATTATTTAGAATATGAATATCTTAGACCATTCTGAAATTTACCAACTTTTTATTTTCAGAATTTTTTTGTGCCACATATTGACAGCTTTTAAATTTCTTAATTTTGGGAAAATAATCGTATTTGTTGGCAACATTTTCAAAATCAACTTTTTGATTTTGTCTGATTTAATATAATCATGATTAAAAAATATAGTTTTTTTAGGTCTCTGAGTGAGATGGGAGTAATGTTGACTATGTTAACTACAGGGATGAGACCTGGAACTGGAATTGTCCCCCCACAGCCAGGTCTAGACTTGTTTCATTTATTTTTTGGACTTTTTAAAGGGGGCTTGGCCTTGATTTCTACGGCTTGTTGGTTTATCGTTCATAGTTTTATCATTATTATTGGTGTATTATTTTAATCTTTCTTCTTAATCAAATCATGTATTGTTTATCACCATTGAATGGAGCAGTTTTTTTCAGGCTAATTTAACTTTGTATACTTTCAATACGTGTACTGAACGGTAATTGATGAACAAATATTATAAATTTGAAAATATTGTATTTACCGTAATATACAATTACTTGATGCAGATGGTGCAAACGCAGTGAACCAGAAGACTGATGTCCTAGTTATGGAAACAAAGCTCAAAATCATAGAAATCCTCCAGTTTATTCTAGATGTTAGGCTAGATTATAGGTAGATACATTCCAAATTTTTCTAGATCTTAATTCTCACACTTTCTAGTTTATTATAGATGTCAGTGTAGATCATTGGTAGAGAAATTCTTGATTTTTCTAGATTTTAATTATCATATTTTTTTCTGGATGTTAGGTTAGATTACAGGTAGAGAAATTCTAGACTTTTCTAGATCTTAACTCACACTTTCTCCAGTTTATTCTAGATATCAGGCTAGATCATTGGTAGGGAAATTCTAGATTTTTCAAGATCTTGATTCTCACATTTTCTCGTCATGGTTTTTAATTTCTTTTGCTTATTTTTCTTTTTTCCATGTTTCAAGCTGTATTTGCTGATAGATTTAAAACAGTAATTTAAGCTAAATTCTGATCTCCTAGAACATTTTTTTAATTTGACAATTGTATAAATATGTCCTTTTATGCCAATTAATAATATTTTCAAAAGAGGAAAATATAATATTTTTTTTAATTTTATAAATATTCATTTTTTAATATTTTAGGATAACGAGCTTACTGTCGATCTTCAAGAGGGAATTCGATCAATCCGAGAAGGGATGATTCAAACAATGAAATTATTATCTAGCTAAACCTAATTTAGAGACTTATGAAATGTAAAGTTTGTAAAATGTGGAATTGTTGAATCTGATTCTAAAAGGATGACGGGATTGTACGAGGAATGCGCGGCATTGATCTTGAACATATTGGTAGAGAAGCAGAGGGGATTTTTGGAGGTATTTATTTATCAACTATACTTTGTAAATATATGCGAGGAGATTGATTTTAACAAAGAAATGCAATTTTGCGAGAAAAAGGATTGATATTGAATTTGTATTTGGAGGGGACGAGTTTTATAGTTGGTTGCTAAGAATGTGTTGGTTTATTACAGGGTTATTCACTAAGGTGATACTTCAGAGACAGGAGATATTCAGTCTTCTTCCTTAAATGTATAGTTCTCTGCAGTCGTAGCTGGTTTCTTTCTTTACCAACTTAACTATACCATTGAAAAGGGATACTTTGGGTGGAAACAAAATTTTAACATTTAATTGCTATATTTAAAAAGTTTCAGACCGTTTTTAAAGTCTCATCCTTTGTGGGTAACCCTGCAGCAAGTTTAAAAAAAACGTATTAAAACCCTCTTTTTACTTTTATCCGAGATTTAACGAGCATTTAATTTTTAACATTGGTTAGGGGAGGGAGAGAGTGGTGTTCTAGATCTAGATCGGACCGGAGGAAAAATATTTTTAAGGTAAATATAACTATTTTATTATTTCAAGTTCATTCTCTTCGATTTTACTTTTTTGTTCAGACGTACAAATTATTTTTCTTGTTATGTAGTTCAATTTGTAATGAAATGAAATTTGTTTACATTTAGAAAGGGTCTGTAAGTGTAATTTGAAATGACCCTCCAGGAAAAGAAAGCAATGCCCCATTTACAGCGTTTCCCTTAAAACATTCATGTGTTCGTTGAGTGTATGTAGTAAATGCCTACTCCATAACAATTTCTCGGACCAGTATCTATTCAGGTACAGTTCAGTTGCACTGAGCTATCGGTGCTAATACGGACATTAGCAATCTATTGATCAATGTCTCAAACAGGACACGATCCACACGGCTACAATCTCGTGAAGTATTAACGCCTCTAAAACTGGGTGTGATCTTGTTTGCTATGTCAACAGGACAATAGCGATCAATAGATGATGATCAAGCCAAAAATCAAGGCAACTATCTTTGCTATGTTAACCGGACAATAGCAGTAAATTCGTTTGTTTCAACAAAACCAAATTACTCCCCAAAACTGTAATTAAAGCGGAGTTTCTGTATCAACTGTCTAAATTTCTTTAGTTTAGATCAGAATGGAGTCTCTTACAGCGTAATTACAAGTTATGCGCTGTTATATATATAGCGTAGTTAAGCAATCGCAATATGGGTATGGGTAGATATATATATATATATATATATATCTACCTACATTTAATGGATTGATCGCAACACACGATTTAGCTATTACTAACGGGCACACTTAGCTAGATGGACAATGAACAACGTAATTTAATATGAGCCTCTTAATTTTGCTATATACAGACTACAGAGATGTGTGTGTGTAATCTTATCGCAACCCACTTATATTCAACTACAAATGTACACTACGCACACCGGAATTTGCAGTAGCATGCAAGCTGGGTTCGATAAGTTTACAAACGCATATCTCTGTACTCCACGAACACACAAAGGTTTTAAAGGTACTTTTGTAAATCGGGCATTGCCCTCTATGCATTGAGGGTCATTTGAAATTTCGCTTACAGTCCCTTTAATAAAAGCATTTTAATTAAGGGTTCTCCTTCACCTGGTGATGCATGATTATCCACGATTAGTGTCAGGAGCGCTCAAGTAAGTTTTTATTAATTATTATTAATTTATTTTTAATTATTAAATAACGACAACGAAAAATAAAGTAAAAATTATTCAGTAATCTGATGGCTAGGAACATATTTCTCAAAAGAAATTTGTCACAAAATCAATGCTAAAATCGATCATTTCGTTTTTCATTATTATATTGAATTTCTTATCTTCTTTGAATTTATTCGCAGATTTTTTCAAATTCTTCAAAAGTCGTCTTTTCAATAATAATTCTAGAAAATCTGCGAAAATCTTTGTGAATAATGAGAAACTAGAATAATGAGTTAATAGAAACTAATAATTGAACAGGATTACTTATTTTCGATAAGATTAATTTTTACTTTCTCAACATGTTCCTATACATGACGTCTGTAGTTAATTGTAGTACTTTTTTTACAATTTGTGTCGTCGTTATTTAATAATTTAAAAAAACTAATTCTGAAAACGTATCCCACCCCCAAAGTAGGAGTTTTGAACGTCGAATTTTACGCTCAAACTCAGGATTTACAGATCTTTAAAAAGTTATATATGTCTCAAACGAATCCGAAAGAAGTTTTCCACAACACTGCATACTCAGTTCAACTACCTTACATAGCCGGTCACTCCCTTTAAGAAACTTTTAAGATAGAACTATTTAGTACTTAATCCTTCGACTTAATATTTGTGTTCTCTTATTAGCCGGAATCCGAAATCGTATCGGATTAGTTTTTTTTAAGGGATCCCCAACACAAGTTTTGACCTCCGATAGATTTTTCAACCTCTCAATATATTTCTGAATGTTCAGTTTTTAAAAAAAAACTTCTTGTTATTTATTTCTTGTTTATTTTCAGCTCGCCCATGTACAAGTAAGAGAATTAACAACATATTCACATTTTTAAAATTAATTTTCTTGACTATTTTCATTGTGATTTATTTTCAGTCTACTTTTTCGACATTTTTCCCAGAGACAAGAGGTTCTCCGATCATTTAGAGAGGTAAACAAATTTAAATATAAAACTATGACTTTTACTGAGAGACCCTTTTTCACTAAGTCAAGAATTAAAAATGGTAAAAAAAAACCCAAGCTGAGACTTGATTAAGTCATTCTTAGTCTTAAGTATGGACATTGGACTTGACTGAAAGTATGATTTTATTTGAAAGAGATCATTTTTCTTTTATTTGTTTTTCAACATTATTTCACGTTTTTTATTTTAGGTTCAACTTCTGGTTTCGGATGATGACGTCAAGAGCTATAAACAGATCAAAGATGATTTAGGTCAGTTCGAAAATTTAGCCACTAATCACTATAGTGTCTCAAAAAAAACTTTACTCTGTTTTTATTCCCATTCTACTATGTATCCTAAGCCTCCAAAAATCAAAAAAAAATTCAGACTACTATTTCAGCTTTATGTAAAACTTGAACAATTTAAAGATTAAAAATGGCGAATTAAAATTGGTGTTATCGGTTCTTCAAATACCATACTAATTATTGGTTCTTTAAGGGAGTTGACCATACTAAATATTGGAGTTATCGGTTCTTCAAATACCAAACTAAATATTGGTTCTTTAAGGGAGTTGACTGTACTAAATATTGGAGTTATCGGTTCTTCAAGGGAGTTAATCACACTTAATATTGGTTCTTTAAGGGAGTTGGCTATACTAAATAAATATTGGAGTTATTGGTTGTTCAAGGGTGTTAATCACACTTAATATTGGTTCTTTAAGGGAGTTAATCACACTTAATATTGGTTCTTTAAGGGAGTTGACTATACTAAATATTGGAGTTATTGGTTCTTCAAGGGAGTTAATCACACTTAAAATTTGTTCTTAAAGGGAGTTAATCACACTTAATATTTGTTCTTTAAGGGAGTTGACTATACTAAATACTGGAGTTATTGGTTCTTCAAGGGAGTTAATCACACTTAATATTGGTTCTTTAAGGGAGTTGACTATACTAAATATTGGAGTTATTGGTTCTTTTAGGGAGTTAATCACTTTAAATATTGGTTCTTCAAGGGAGTTGATTATACTAAATATTGGATTTATTGGGTTTTTCAATGGAGTTAATTATGCTAAATATTGGAATGGTTGGTTCTTTAAGGGAGTTGATTTTACTAAATATTGGAGTAGATCATGCTAAATATTGGAATGGTTGGTTCTTCATAGGGTTTTTTTGCGAAAATTCTAATTTGCGCCAAAATCCAAGTTTTACAAAAAGCTGTCTGATTTTTTTTATTTTTCTGCTCAGAGACCTTATATGAACGGGATAAAAAAGCGAGTATATTGAAAATCAAATTTTTTTGGTTTTCTGGGACACCCTATTAATCACAGTTATTATTAATCACCCTATTAATCACAGTTATTATTAATCACCCTATAAAGTTCTGTTTTTATGGGTGATTCTATTCGTTTTTCTATAACAAGTAAATGTATATTCAAGATCATATTTGAATGATATATGATATATCCTTATTTTACTAGCTAAACATTATGTTCAATTGTGGTGACTCGTAGATATATGCAAAAGGTGAACTTGTCGTAATTCGCAACTCTTTTAAAAATATTATTTCATTGTAAAAATTAAGCAAATTTTCAACTTTTTCAACTTTAGATGATTTGCGGCTACTGGTTGAGAAATCTGAACTCTGGGTGTACAAAGAGCTCAAGCTAGATGATAAGAAGGTCAGATAAATTGTGAAATTTTTCTCAGGCCCGGCCCTCCTGACCTTCTCAGAAAAATGTCTTTGTTTACAAAAGAGTACTGCAATTCCCAGTAGGAATATAAACAAACAATACTTTTCTTGCAATTAATTAAAATGGAAAAGCTGTCAGATATGAAATAGAAAAGTTAAACCAAAATCTGGGGAATCTGGGGGCTTTAGAGATATCTTCATTGATTCTTGATTAGTCCTGCACTTACAAATGTTATTAAAAATTCTAAATTTAGATGGAAAGGAATTGACCCTTTGTCACAAACTTTGATTTTCTAATCCCTATATCTTTGCAACCAGATGTTGTAAATATTAGATATTTGAATTTTGTTAGATTCTAAGTTTAGAATACCAAATATCAAGTTGCAAATGAATAGGGATTAAAAAATTTGAGTTTGTGGCAAATACTCAATTCCTTTATAAAACTATTGAACTGGGAGGGTCTGGCTCATCAAATTATTTTTTTAAGTTAGTTTAGCAATCTCATTGGCTGATTTGAGTAGTTCAATCCGGTTCAGCTTAAACTACATTCTCAAATATCCAACTGTGTAAAGTTTATTAATTGGTTGGTTAGGAGGATGAAGTGACAAGGAAGGTTGGATTTACTAAATCAAGATCAATGTCGAAAAGGGGAATCAAACTCCTAATTAGACAATCCAGGAAAACTCAATTTCTTATCTTGGAAAACTCAATTTCTTATCTTGGAAAACTCAATTTCTTATCTTGGAAAATCAATTTCTTATCTTGGAAAACTCAATTTCTTATCTTGGAAAACTCAATTTCTTATCTTGGAGTTTTGGAATTTTAAAACTTTTGAATTTAGTGAAGGGTTAAAGTCATTAGATTTGAAAATCCTAAAATGTATCAATTGTTGTTGAAGCATGATCAGATGAATTTCAATAATTGTAAAAAAGTGAACGATCATAAAAAACGATTGAGGTAAACATAGCAAACCCGCGATTTAAAAGCTTAGACACGGGTTTCATTTCTCAGATTTAAGGCTTCAGCTCTCAATCAGAAGTAAAGTTTTTGGAATTATTAGTTTCCGATAATTATGAAGGTAGAGGATGCGGTTTAAAAAATGGATCTAGGAAATTTAAGCTTTTAAATTGTGGGCCTCAGAGGTCAAAATCGTTTTTATCTTTAATCTTTAACGCTTGATCTCGATTTCCTATGGGGACACTTTTGAAATTGAGGATCAATGCATGATCCATCAAATAAAGTTATCTCTGCAGAGTATGACCACCAGGGGATATTGCGTAAGGTTTGCATAAGATGGAGATCAATATTTAATTCAGTGATTCATAAAATAAAAGTTCTTTCTTCTTCGAGACATTTTGCGCCTAAACTTTATCTATTCTACCTTTTCTATATTATACTTTAAACTGTAAATTGAAAAGTTTTTTAAAAGTGTTCTCAGCAATGCTAGTAGCAATGATGGGGTATGTTACAAGTGTATTTTGAGTTTAAAAAACGTTCTTAATAGAGTAGCAGCACCCTAGTTAGTTGTATACCACACGTCGTTGTAACGATTTGTTTTTTTTGGCACTCTTGGTTTGTTTCAGATTCACCATATCTATCTAGCTATCTATCTACCCCCTATTTTGCTGTCTGTCTGTATCTATCTATCTATACTATCCTTCTAACTATCTATCTAGCATTTCTAACTAATTATTTATCTATCAATACATCTTTCCATCTATCTATCTATTTTTATATCTATCCATCTATCTATTACATTGACTATCTATATATCTTTCCATCTATTATCTATATCTATCTAGCTATCATACTAACTATCTATCTATCTCTCTAGAATGACGAGGATGAGGAAGGGGGAAAAGAAGGTATTCCTCTGAAAGATCAAAGAACCACAAGGCGACAACCGGAGAAGCATGGTTCAGCCATAGACCTAGATATAGGACCTCCGCTAGATCCTAACCAGGTTAATTCATTCATTTATTCACTATTCATTTATTTATGTATTCATCCTTTTATTCATTTATTTATCCGTTTATTCATTTATATATTTATTTATCTATTCATTTATTCAATTATTCATTTATTCATTTATTCATTTATTCATTTATTCATTTATTCATTTATTCATTTATTCATTTATTCATTTATTCATTTTATTTCAGTTATTTCAGTTATTTCAGTTATTTCAGTTATTTCAGTTATTTCAGTTATTTCAGTTATTTCAGTTATTTCAGTTATTTCAGTTATTCATTTATTCATTCACCTATTCACCAACACACCTATTCACCTATTCACCTATTCACATATTCACATATTCACCTCTATTCACCTATTCACCTATTCACCTATTCACCTATTCACATATTCACCTATTCACCTATTCACTATTCACCTATTCACCCATTTATTCACCTATTCACTCATTCACTCATCCTCTCATAAACTCACTCACTCATCCTCTTATTCACTCATTCACCCATTCATCTTTTCATCTTTTCATTTAAATTCATGTTACAATTCACACTGTCAATATTATTTTTAAGTCTTAATTCATTTATTGATTTAAGCTGCAAATAATTCCTATTCTTATTTTATTTTAGTAGTATTTTTATTTAGGCCAGAAACTATAAAACAATTCAACAAATTCTCTACAGGTCAGACATTCCTTTTAATGATTATTTAAAAAAATTTTGAAATTGTATTTGGAACCATTTTAGCATTTTATAAAGGTATTGCATGGTAACAAAAAAATCATTCAGTTTCTTCAATGTTAACATATTTTTTATTAATATACTCGCGCTAATAATTTTTTCGATATCTATTTTTACACAATTCAATTTTTACAATTTTAATAATTTGTAAAATCAAATTAGTTATTGGGTAAAAAACTAGAATGGTTATTTTTATAAAATTTATTTAATTTACTTCTATGTACATTTTTTCAGAATTGACATTGGGATTGTTTTATTTTTATCTATCTTTCTTTTCATCTGTTTATCTATGTATCTATTTCTATCTATGATTCTATGTATCTGTGGATATATTGTTTTTATCTATTGTATCTTTTATCTATCTATGTATCTTTTATCTATCTTTGTATTTATATTTATCTTTATTTATATATATCAGTGAAAACTCAACATTCTTCTTAAAACATTGTTTTCATTAACAATGAGAATAATATGTATCTATCTATCTATCTATTTATCTATCTATCTATCTATATATCTATCTATCTATCTGTCTATCTATCCATTTATCTATATATCTGTCTATCTATCTATATATCTGTCTGTCTATCTATCTATCTATTTATCTATCTATCTATCTATCTATCTATCTATCTATCTATCTATCTATCTATCTATATACCTGTCTATCTATCTATATATCTGTCTATCTATCTATCTATCTATCTGTATTTCAGGATGAACAGATTATGTGTTCGACCGGTTACTGGAGGAGAATTAAAACCAAAGAGACATGAACAAAGATTACTCAGGAATATGGGTGTTCATAAGGTTTGTATGAGTGGGTCAAGGCCATGTTTATGATTTTGTGTCTTTATAATTGTTGTTATAGTCATGTTCATGTTTATTTGTTCATGGTCCATGTTCATAGTCATGACCATGATCATGGCTTAGGACAAGGTCAAGGTTAAGATAAGTTTAAGATTTAGGTTTGAATATCCTCCATAGCATTCATTAGCTCTTGATAACATCCACTCTGCTATATATTCCTAGCACAGACAAAGCAAACCATGAATGATTGGGTGTCAAAAATGGTTGCAGGGATTTCGTCACCAAATATTGGAATTTAACCTTTAACTAGATACATTGCAAAAGTCAGAATTGAATTCATATCCGGGCTGAAAAACCATTTCTCACTCAGGAATTGAAACTCTAGGTTGAGAAATGGAGCCTAAAGCTTTCCCAACATTCATGATTTGATTTGATTTGATCATGGCTTAGGACAAGGTCAAGGTTAAGATAAATTTAAGATTTAGGGTTAGATTTGGTCACGGTGAAGGTCTTGGTCATGGTTATTGGTTAATGTTAAGGTCAAAAGGTTGCATGAACATTTTATAAATTCTTTTATTTTCCAGGTGGTTCTTGACCTTCTACAGATACCGTTTGATCATAAGGAAGATGTCAGGGATGTCATCCAATAGCAAACAATGTATCAGTCACATTTTGTTAAAAGGCCTCTTTTTTCTTTCCTCAAGCTTGCTGCTTCTTTTATTATTCGTCAAATACTGTCAAATCAATTGAGTTCTGATAAATTGATTGATTGATTGATTGACCGGATATCAGGATGAATGAGTTGATGAGGCTGGCTCATGAGTTTCTTCAGAACTTCTGTCTGGGAAATCAATCAAATCAGGTATTCTTGAGACACTTTGTAGTCTGTATTTTTGTTTTAAACTCTGAATATTTTTTAATAAGACCTTATTAGTGCTAAGCTTTTATGCCATTAAATATTAAAGATGATAGAAATGATTAGAAAATTATATTTTAAGGTGCTGCTGCATAAGAGCTCTGACTTGTTCCTTAACCCTGGACATCTGGACGCCAAGACCATGTGCGCAATATTTCAGGTAAAGTTTTGAAATGTCGTCTTTGAAGTTGCGCAGTATATATTTTTATTTAAGTGTTTGTTTAATGTTTATGAAAAAATGAAATTGCAAAGTTTTTACACGACTAGTTTTTGTCATAATTTGTGGCCAAGTTTCAAAAGTAATAAAAAATGTAAATAAAATTTGTTTAGGACAACGCTGTGCTGTGTAATGAAGTGAATGAGAATATCGTCCAACATTTTGTTCACTGTATAGACTCCTTTGGGAAACATGTTCAGGTCATTTAAATGTTTTTCAGAATAAGAATATTATTCTTATTCTTAAAAAAAATATAAACCAATTCTTTGTCCCTGCTTGAAGTATAAGAGAAGATTATTTAAAATTATTTTTACTTTGATATTTTATTCATAATTTAAAACAACAAAATCTTTAGAAATATCAATTTAAGGAATAAAAATTACCAGTGGATGTAGAAAATTTACAATTTAGTGAGTAGATGTTTATTATGTTTGCTGGCAATAAACTTATTCTTATCCCCATTGGGCCTAATACTACATTCAATGTTCCTTTGAAACTTTAGTTCAGACGTTTATTGGAAATAAATAACCCCGCCCCCCCCCCAAAAAAAAAAACTAGCAGTTTTGGCCTGTACAGGAATTAAGGAGGAAAATATGATCACAGGAATAATTAAAATATAATTTTTTTTGTAAAATAAAACAGAACTAGATGTTAAGAAATTAATGCAGGAAAACTCTTAATTCAATTACGTGATATTGCAGTACCTGAGATTCCTGCAGACAATTGTACACACAGAGAACCAGTTTATACGACGCTGTCAGGATCTAGTTATGCAGGTCAGCTTAGTTTTTGTTTTTGTTTTTTAAAATCAAAAAGACTTATTTTTTCTCAGTGGAGTTAATAAAAATATCGAATATAAAAATCAAAATGTTGAACTAACATTGAATACAATTATTTATTACCATCATCTATTTAGTATAATTAGAAAAAATAAATTATGTCAAACCAGTTTGCCCAAGCTTTTTTTTACGTTTTAAATTACAGGGATAAAATTTTTTTCTCTTAAAACCATCCCTCACTTTTACCCCTTCTTTGCATTTCTTGAAAATATGAATTCCTGGTTAATTGTATTATAATTATTTTGACTTGATTAAAATAGAAAATTATTCCTAATAGTATTTTAATCCAATAAATCAAATTAAAAATTTGAAATTAAGAAATTGATATTGAAAACTTCATTGAATTAAACATTTTTCATGGGGCTGTCGACCTAATTGTAAGTAACATTATCTTTAAAGTCTAAGATGTTCAATTCTAGCCATCAGATGATGGAGATGTTCTTCTCTTCTTATCTAAAACTAGATAATTTTTCTTGGGGGATTTATACAATCTACATAGTGTCATAGTGGATTTAATTGGTTAGCCAACTGACTGGAATGTATCTACTTTATCTCCCTAGCTTTGGACTAAATGTTGGGGTTTTAAAGGTCTAGTTTGAACAGGGGCGGGACAGTGCATCCTGCTGTCTGGACGGGACAGTGCATCCTGCTGCCTGGGCGATCTGGGGGGTCCACATATTGGCCTCTTGAAGATTTTACTTCCTTATGATTCCTTATAAAGCATAGAAAAGAAAGGAAATTTGCATTAAATCAAAATTAAAATCAAAACAATATTCTTACTTTACAATACGTTAACAACCCATTATTTTCAGGAATTGATAAATGCCGGGGAAGATGTTCTCATTTTCTACAATGACAAGGTAATTGGTTTTCGTTAATTCATTATATTTTTCTTCATAGTCAAAACTTGTCGCAGTAAAAGAAAAAATATTTGCTTTTCTTACACTATGTTAAGTTTAGACGTTTACAAAAGATATGCTAAAAAACTAAGCAAAAATGAACGTGGTGTAACAATTGGTTTTGGGTCTTTTTTGTTTAATAAACATGCAAAGTTCAATAAAACAAACTAACATAATACAGTGTTGACATCTTAGTTGTTTAATTGGGTTTAAATAAAAAGATTTAAAACAATGTAAAGCATGAATTATAGCATTAAAAAATGTGCTTGCCAGCCTGATTGCTTCACAAACGAGTGTGCTAAAGAGTTGGGAAACCCGTCTGTCGCAGAGTGCAATTTAAACTACCATTAAACATGAAAATTGAGTGATGACCAAACTTCATCTAAGATGCTTTTTTTCTCATAAAAAAAGGATGTATTAAAATAGGTTGAACGAACTAAAAGCTTTAAAAAAATAGATGAAACTTTTTGGTATTCATTTAATAATTTGAAATAAAAGCAGACCACAATTTAGAAATGTGGTATTTTATGATCTTTGTTCGAAGACCTAATGTTAATTAATTTGTGTACACGGAATTATTTTATTACTATCCAATAAATTTAAAACTCTCTGGAATACTCTGCATCAATTTCTTTCTTCTAAATTGTGCAAAAGAAATCCAATTCTTGTGCAAAAAGAACTGAAAGATAAGTTTACATTTATTTTTTAGGGCGTTGGGACATTTTATGGAAAGACAATTCATAGAAAGACATCTCATAGATAAAAATAGCATAGATAGGACATTTTCCGGAACGCCTTTTCCGGAAACATTTTATATTAAATGCAAAATTATATGAAAAGAATATTCTCTTTATTATTTTATTTTTCTATTAGGCGAGCTTTAACCACTTCCTTGAGCTGATGAGAAGTGAGAGGAATAGGATGGATAACACTAGTTTACTCTGCTACCATATTGAACTGGTAACAAAATTCAACCTTCTTAAATTGATAGTAATTGACCTTTCATTAAAATAGGGGCATCATTTATTCACAACAGAACTAATTGACTATTAAGGATAACAGATTTTTTCTTATTTATCAACAGAAATGCAATTATAATTTTTTTAGATCTAAATATTTATTAACTATGTCATGTTATATGTTTGAATCATTCATTATCGTAGAAAACAAATAGATTTTTAAATTACAAACATTACATAGGATTTTTAGTAAAATCACGAGCAATCTCGACCCTAATATTTTCTTCTATTTTTAGCTTTTTCTGGAAAGAAAATTCCACATTAAGTGTAGTTGACCAGGGTTCATCAGGAAAACGTTCTGTGTTGTCTGGGATGGTTTTAGCCTCAAGTGCATTTTCAGCTGATTTGAATTCTACCAGGGCATGATACACCCTGTATCTTTCGATCATAACTATTTTGTTTATTTCACCATGAGGTTTACAGATTTGGTAAATAAAGGAAGTGTCGATATCAAATGGAGTGAATTCATATCCTTCAGGAATAGTTAGAAATAAAATAGAATTTAGGTTTCTGTTCACTGAGGATGTAGGATGGGTTGAATCGTGGATAGTAGGTAAGGAATGAGGATACATTTTCATGTGTATCTAGGGAAGAAGGTTCAGTTTCAGGGTGTTCGGGTGTAGCCGAAATTCCACCATCTATTTGAGGTATTGGAGTAGAGCTAGGACTAACAGGGTTTGGCTGTGGGGTTTTATTCCTCTGGGGGCTAGACACGGACTGCACATTCTGTACTTTAGAACAGGGGGTCACATTAGTCTTATATACAGCAGGACTCTTAAAACTTTTTACTGTTTTCACCACCTCAGAATAAGTAGGGTTCACGGGCCTCTCAAGGTTTAAGGGCCTCAGTTCAGTTGTAGTCTTGTCAAAATAAGGGGCCCTTTTGCGACCTTCCTCACAAACTGTAGTCTCCCTAGATCTTGCTTCTCTGTAAGGGGTTCCAAGAGCCTTTTTTCTCCTCATTCTCCTCTTCCAAGACTGGGACTGTGTCTGGGGTCCAGGGGTTTTGGAAAATGAGAAGTACTCATTTCCTCCTTTACTCCACAGGTTTAACTTAACCTCCAGGCCAGCTTTCACAAAGTCCTGGTATACACCCAGGATACGCTCAGTTATATTCATTGTATGTTGGTTTGAAGACTGAAGAAGATACCTAGTCCCGCCATTTGATTCAGCTGATTGGGGGCCAACAGGGTAAGGAAGGGTTAAGGTCCTCACAGCTCAGTGTCGGGGGTGGAACTGACGAAATTATAATTGTTAACATTTTATTTTTTCATATTAAAGCGATATTAATTTTACTTTATAGCAGATGCAGAATATGAATTTTCACATTTTAATGGGAGTTTACACGGTTTTTCACACAACAACATTTAATATATAAATACACAGAGATATCCTTCCTTGATGAAAAGTTGAAGGTTTAAAGGCATTGATGTGATTCCCGCATGGCCCTCTTTTAATGGAAGGTCACTTAAAATTACGCTTACAGTCTCTAACCATTTTCAGAACTTTTTTTGCTCACAATTTACATCTTAGTGTTGAATCAAAAAAAATCTTAGCCTCTGCTCCCTTTTATATAATAATATTTTATATCTTTAAATAACATTTTTCAAGTGAACAGTTTTAAATCATAATTTGTCAGAAACCATGACATACAAATATACAAAAAAAAAATTATTTTAAGCCTAATCAAACTTCTTAAGACAATTAATTTGAAAATATTCACATTTTACTTGTAGGTTAGGTTGTTAGCTTGCTGTACCATGGGGAAGAATGTGTACACTGAGATTAAATGCCATAGTCTGCTCCCCCTTGATGATATTGTTACAATGGTGTGCCACAAGGTTAGTAAGCCCATCAAAATCTGGATTTTGTTCTGAATCTGGGTCTAGTCATTGGTCTCTACTCGGACTGTTGGCCACACTGGGCTAGTGTTGTAACCAATTGGTACATTAATGACTGTATATATGGTTATTCCCAGCCCCAACTTCTAAGGAATGATGACTGATAGGTTGTTTATTTGTTTAGTAATAATTTGTTCATTAAGTTTGGGAACTATCTGCCCATACCTCTAACATATAATCATAAAGAATTGAGTGATTGAGTGATTGCTCTGCACAGCATTATTTAACCTAGCAGAATCAGTGGTTAGTGTCAAGTTGCATCATACAATCTAAACCCCAGCCTTGGCTCAACAGTTTCCCTCATATTTTCACAGCTCTCTTTTAAGAAAATAAAATAGGTTTGGGCTTCTCCCAAAAGTGTATTATTTGTACTTGATGTTAAATTAATAATATTTTAGATTTTATATATTGTAATTTAATGTCCATGATGTGAATTTAATATTACTTTGATGACTACTGGACTGCTAATTAGATTGAACTGCAACATGTAGTGGAAGAGGTGTTGTTAGGAATCAACATTGAAACTTCCTTAATCAATTTGAATTCTGTATAAATTTCTTACATGTGAAATAAAATCAATCAGAACTCTGACAATGCCTTCAAAAAGCCCTATCGCTGACAATCCTAACCAAAGCCCTAGAGCACTGCCAATCTCAACTGTAAGATCAAACCCATTGTAATGTGATACACTTAAACTAACTTTGACAGTTGGGTTGAAGTGAAGGTAAATGCTGTTTAAGCCATTGACTGTTTCTATGTTGCTGACATACTTAGACTTGACCAAGGTTTTAACACATGGGACTTTGCATTCGCCTATGGGATGGAAAATAGCAGTCTGGGCGTTATTTATAATGCCTTTCAGATATCTCATAGCTTCTTGGCTGTAATTAGTTTTGATGAAACCTGTGCAAACATTTTTGTTTGTCATCCATGGAATATTGCAGCCCAGTTCTGGAAAAAGTTTTTTTTCATGATCTAAACTCACACAGTCAGCATATGATGTGTAACCACTTTCTTCTTCATAAGTGATACATTCTTCCCCAGGCTTGTTTGGATCCAAAACAATTTGTTCTATTTCTAATAAGTAATGTTTCTTGTTTATAATTGATGCGTTTCTTTCAGTATTTAGTTCTATAATGTCCCCAACCATAGAGGACTCATATATTTGGTATTCAAGAGACATTGCTGAATCAGTAATAAACATTTTGTAGTGTCCTTTTTCTATCTGTATGCGAGGTACTGTTGTCTCAGTTGGATTAAAAGTGATGTTTTTAAGATTCCAACAATGTCCATGGGGAAGGATGAATTTATATTCTTTCTCTTCAATATGGTTGAAATAGATATCATCCAGTTTAGCCTTGTATAGTAGTTCACTTGACTGTTTGAAACTAAGGTTTTCCTTCCCACCCCATGTTATTCCATTTTTCTCAAGAAATACACCTTTCAAGTAGTCTGATTGTAGATGATAGCCAAGTTTTTGAGCAGTTAACCAATCATACTGGCTTTCTTGGCATAATATTATGGAAGGGGGAGAGACATTTTTAAAAGGCTTAAAAGATTCAGAAATTATTTTTGGATGTGAGAGATATTTAGTCATTGCATTCCATAGCTGCCAAATCAGCAATGCTGATGATATAACTTGAAGAATATTTCTGCATAATTTTAATGCATCCATTTCTAATGGTGGTTTTCAAGCAACTGCTCATGTGTTGTATTTGTTGTCAACTGTTTCCATGGTCCAAGTATATGGGTAAATCAATAAACAGATATCAAGATATGATATCAATCAAACTGCTGTAGAAAGGTATAGAAATGTAAAGTAGAGTAGATACACTTATTCTTATATCTTTAAGTCAAACTATGAAATATGTTAATGTAAGCTTTGAGTGCCCCTTTTAAACTTTGGTAATAGTATGTAACTTTTTTTGAGCTTTTAAGAAGGGCTTAACAATTTTGCGAGTGTTTTAACCTATAAATTTTGCTCATTTGTTTCTATCCAATTTACTTCAAAACCGCTGAATCAAGGAGCCAATATTTTTTTTGTAGAAACTTACATGACCCAAAAATGGCCGAATGAATAGACAACTTTTCAAATTTGACTGGAAAATAATTTTTTAAATTTTAAATATCTTTCAATGTTGACAGAGCAAAATTTGAAATGAACAATTCCAAAGAAAAATAGTGTCTTAAAAAGCAGTATTTTTATTCAAAAATCTTTTCTATTAAAGGGGCGCCAAGTGCCTTAAAGGTGAGAATAATTAAATAAGATGAAATTCAAATATACTTAGACTCTGACAATCTAATACTTTGTAATCTTCTCATTGTGGATTTAGAAGTAATGTTGTTAAGTGTTATCTTAACTAGAATAAAACAAGTAAGGCTTTGATCTGGCATTAACTATGATATATTATTTTGAAATGTAAAGGGAAAAGTTAAAAATGGGGAAAAGTGAAGCTTTTTCCTTATTCTAAGGTTAATTGTTAAAAAAAACTTATCCAATTAATGTCTTATCTTTTATTAAACATTAAAATTCAATCACCATACCAACAAATATTTACTAAAACGTGTTATTTATTATTCTCAAAATTTAACAATATCAAAAACTCATTATTATGCCAAGTTGTGCACATATTTATTTATATGCTGTCTGTTTTTTCATGTGTCTGCAGGTAGCTAATAAATTTGATAGGTTAGTTTTTAGTAGCCTAAAGGTGGTGCTGATGGAAATATTAAATTTGGCAGTGTGCTGGCCTTACAGTTTACAGTTGGTGGTAGCAGAACTAAAAGCATTATTTTGTTTTCCAAAAGTTAAGACAAAATTGTATTATTTCAATCATGTAATCAAAGAGTCCAATGGCAGACAATCCAAGCCAAAGTCTTAGTGCACTTCCTACTTCAACTGTCAGATCAAAACCATTGTACTGAGATATGCTTTCACTAACTCTGATAGTTGGGTCAAAGTGAAGATTAAAACTGTTTATGCCATTGATAGTTTCAGTAGTACTAAGGTACTTTGAAGTCACACTTAACTTATCACAGGGAACTTTGCAAGATGTTGAGGGTAAATTCAATGCGGTTGCTGAATAGTATATGATGTCACGTAAATATTTGTTTGTTTCCGGGCTGTATGTATAATTAATAAAACCTTGGCAAGTATCATTTTGTGACATCCAGGGGATATTGCAGCCTAATTCAGGAAACACTTTAGCGACATGCTCAGAGTAAATGCATTCTGCATAGGATTTGAAAGTATTATATTCATCATAGCTAGAACACTCTTCTCCAGGTTTAGTGGGATCCAATAAAGTTTGTTCTACCTTTATCAAATAATTTATTTTGCTGATAGTTGATCTATTAAACTCAGTGTCGAATTGTATTATATCCCCAACCATGGATGGTTCAGATATTTTGTAGTAAAGACCCATTGCAGGATCTGTAATGTACATACGATATTTCCCTTTTTTTATCTGTACTCGAATTGCACCATCACCCTTGTTCATACTTGTGTTGTGTAGGTCTAAACAATGGCCATAGGGAATGATAAATCTTTCCTCTTTTTTAACTGTTTCATGAACAAGAATGTTTTTTGTTTCTGCTTTAAATAAAAGCCTGATTGATTCATGAAAAGTAAGATTGTCCTTACCACCCCAAGTAATCCCATTCTTTGCAGTAAACACTCCTTTTAAAAAATTCATTTGTAGATGATATCCTAGTTCCTCAGCTTTTTTCCAATCATACTACCCAATCTGACAAACTGTAATCAGAGGTGGTGTGATACTTTCAATATTTTTGTAGGAGGTTGATGTTACCGTAGGATTGGAAATGAACTTGACTAAAGCATTACCAATTTGCCATAAAAGTAGTGCAAATGCTGCTATTTGAAGAAAATTCCTACAAGCTTTTAAAAGTTGCATTCTTTCCGACCGTTTTTATTAAACTGATACTTTGCTCAAAAGCTTCATTGCCCCCCAGGTTTTTTTGATTATTGGGTTTTTAATTGAAATAAGGAATTGAAAGCTTAAACAACATTAAATAGTATGCCATAGTCATTTTTATTATCTAATTAATAAATCAATAGCTCAGTTTTTTCATTTGAACATTAGTTTTTCTTTTTTTCTGCATTGCTTAGCAGTAAATAAACTTGCAGACAAAAGGTTATTCAGTTTTTGGGGAGGATTTTTCTTGCCTTGTTCATTGGATCCATAATTTACCAGATTCTTACTTCAAAATAGAACTGGGATGTATATGAATAGCAGTAACCCGTCAATAGGCTTATAATGAAAGATTCTTCTAAGGCCTGCTACGAAAGTAGAGCCTAACCATTTCAAATCTAAATAATTGTGAAAGGTTTTTAAGATCTGTCTACAAATGTAAAATTTTTAACTTACAATAAATAATTTTCCTGTGAAAAGAATGAAAGAAAGATACAAAAGTTTATATGGCTCCGCTACAATTTTCATGTTATTTTATCACTGCTTTAAAAATTTTTTATTTTCTAGGACACAATACCTGAGGTGAAGGATGCTTATGTGAACTTTCTGACCCATTGTTATATTGATACTGAGGTTGAGATGAAGGAAATATATACTTCACACCACATGTGGCAGCTTTTTGAAAGGTACGCCGTTTTACTATCAATCAATACTTTATTTTTTAACTTTAAAGAAGCAGATACATTGTTGTTGATTTAACTGATGTTTAAAGTTGAAAAGAACAACAATATTTGGAGGTTCAAAACTCAAAAGTTTCATATTCAACCTAAGGGTTGGGGGGGGGGGGGAGGACATTTCCTCTCCCCTATCCTGTTGTAATCTGGTCTTTTTTTTGATTAAAATATATGATTTTATATTCAGGTCCTTTCTACTCGACATGGCCATTGTTTCCAATGCTACCCATGACAGGAAACATGCAGACACAGCCCTAGAAACCTATGTTACCATCACTTTAACAGGTTGTTGTCAATATTAAATTACAGTTTATCCTCTGGGTGAAACTTCTGTTTGGTAAAGATCTTAGCTTTAGCAACTAAACTCTAGGAAGACAAGGTGATTTTATAAAACTTACGAATAATATTAATAATATATTAATAATTATCTTGACAGCTCTGTTCTGATTCTGAACTGGTCTAGGCTACTGTTGGTGTTCCAACTGGGGAGTAACTTTTTTCATTGGTAGCTAGCCCTGGCATATTAATTCACACTAAGCTTGTGTCATTGTTACACTAATTCCGATATTTGGGGGTTATTTCTGAAGGGGACTTGGCCTTCGAAATGATGGTTAATAGTTTAACATTGTTTTTATTATTACTATAAGTATTATTATTATATCTACTGTTCGCAGTGCAAACTAGAGTTCTGGGTTTGATGTTTGTAACACTAGTTCAGCTGGCTTCTTTACTGTCTATAAGGTTTAACCATCTGGGTGTAAAGCAATCATCTGAACCCTTAAGAATCAGATTTGACAAATAATTTCCCAATTAGGTGGGTGGGGGTCAGATCTTTTCATTTAACTTTATTATTTTACAATTTGATTATTTTTAGAAATTATTACCACATTCTTCAAGTCTCCGTACTCGGACCAGTCCACAACAGTTCAGACCAGACAGAGCGTGTTCGTTCAACTTCTTGGTGCGGCATTCAGGAAACCGATTTAATGATGACTTTAGATAATTTTAGATAGTTCAGAGGTTAAAATAATTTCTTAATGGGAGAGACCGGCTATGCATGGTATTTGAGCTGAAAGTGAAACTTTAGGATTCATTCAATACCAATTAGTAATTTTTACGGTCTACAATTTTTTTTGTAATATTTCACCAGCTATTTCAGCAAGCGAAAGAAGCGTTTTTTACTATTAAAATAACCTGGCCAAAACCTGTAAAAAAAATTATTTTGCTGTTTCGGAACATATTTCTTAATAGAAATTATTTATGAAAGCCATAGTAGAACGAGGGGAGGAAAGCAAACCACAACATTTTCTCGTCCGAGCCACATTCTCCTTATTTTCTCCTCAGAGCCACCTCGAAATCCTCGTACTTCTAACATTATTTTGTTCCAGTGTCTAGTCCTCCCAGATAAAACTATTTTTTAAGAATCGGGACATGTTAGGGCATAAATGAAATATTGAATTTTTGTAAATCGAAAAAAAGTTTCAATTAAATTAAAGTTTTCAAGTTTAATTTTCACAAATATTGTAGGCTGATTTCCTTTAAAAAAATTAGGTCTTTTTCTAATCTTAAACTCTTGGACAGTTTGAGTGGGGTTTCCCGCCACTTTACACATGAATAGCTGACAAAGGGGAGGTAGGCCAACCACAACAATCTCTCGTCCAAGCCACCTCGAAATCCTAGTCCTTTCAATATTATTTTTTAAGTGTCTAATTCTCTCAGATAAAACTATTTTTAAAGAATCGGGCCACGTTAAAGGTATAACTGAAATATCGAATTTTAGTAAATCGAATAAAGTTTCAATTGAATTGAAGTTTTTAAGTTTAATGTTGTTAAAAATGTTAACCTTTTTTTACGAGCATTTTCAGATATTCCTGGTGTAGAATGCCGCAAATAATTTCGAGTTTATAGAACTTCAATCTTTTTTGGTTAATTATAGTGAAAATTGAATTATGTGCCAAATGTTTGCCTTTTATTTTTAGCCATTGCGGAGGAAGAAGAGATTCAAGTTTTACCTAATAAAGATTGATTTTAATGGGTTTGAAGAACCGTTGAACCGTAGAACCGTAGAACCGTAGAACCGTAGAACCGTAGAACCGTAGAACCGTAGAACCGTAGAACTGTAGAAACGACTATTTCATTATTAATATTAACGTTTCTGTTTTTATAAATTTATTCGCTGAATCTTCAAAATGTCCACTTCACAATTAAAATAAAGAAAATCTCCAACAAGCGACCCCGTTGAAAAAATTAGCGAAAACCTGCGAGATTTTAAAATGAATTTTAATAACATATTGTCTATGATAAAAGTTTATTGTTTATCTCAACATGTTTGTATACATGCAACTATAGTTACACGCTTTGTCAATTTTATTTAAGAATTGTAAAAAACGTTTCTCCTGCTGGCTAGGACAACTGCTAAAATATTACAAGCGACTTTTTAAAAAAATTAAAAATTGTACACCGTAGAAATGTCTCATTGGTACCAAATGAATCCTTAAAGTTTTCTTTACCATATTGCACTCAACTCAACTATCATGCAAAGTCAGTCTCTCCCTTTAAAGTTAGTTTTGCTTACCTACAATCCTTGTGGATTTTGGGGATTTTTTGCAAATTTTGTAATGCTGGTTATTTAAGTAGAGCCCAAGGAGCTTTCCAAAAAGTTACGAAATGCTATAGATAAGTATCTCGATGAAAAAATTGAGGTGGTGTCTCAGGCTATTTTGGGTTGAATAGACGTCTCTAGAAATCGGGTTTAACGTAAAATTACTAAAACTTTTATAAGATTTAAATTATATACAATGTGGTACAACTTACGTCATGAATCGGTGTACAGGGTATCCCAGTGTTCATGGTTAGGTACAGATCAACGGATTGCTGTAGAGAACTGCATTAAAACATTAGCTGATGTTGCAAAAGCAAGGTATAGTAGTTTCAGACGCATTTACAAGTTCTCTTTTTTATATTTAAATTTTTAGTTTAAGCTTCTAGTAAATTCTTGTGCTAGAATTGTTTACTTAATTTTTAAATCTAAGATTTAAAATCCAAAAAACTGCATAACGATAGGGATTTTTCCTGATTGCTTTTCTAAAATAGCTTTCCGAAGTTAAAATTTCTGTCGTTTTCTCATTTTTTTTCATGGAAACTGATTAAGTTTGTATATATGTTGATGCCGGTTTTTTCATCTTTGAAGATGCTTTAAACATGTTCTAATTCAATATCAGCTGTTAAAAAAATTGTACCTCATAAAACTTGAATAAAAGACGACTGTTTGTCTCAATTTAGTTATATATTATTTTATTTAATCCAGTAAAATTGAAAATGGTAATTCTGTCGTTTGCAAACACATAATTTCACTTAATATGATGTTTTTCCATCACATCAAATACGATTAGATTTTTGAAAAGTCGCCTCCCATTCTAAAAATTTATTGGCCACTGTAAATATGATAACAATCTTTAAGCATCCAGTAAAAGAACACATTTTACATACCTATATGTAAACTGTACAGGGTTATTGCTATTCCCTCGGATCTAGATATTCAAGTTGCCACAATGTTCACCAAAGCTCAGATTATCTCTAGACAAACCACCAGTAAATGGTTACAGGTAAAAAACTTCAAAATAAGGATTTAGACTTTTTATTTAAATGACCTGGAAGTAAATTATAAGTGACCCTCCATTTTTTATCCAAAAAAGCTTTGCCAAGAATGAGATATCCAATATCCATGAATTCTTTTTGAAAAGTGAAAATAGAAAATGTTGGTTTCTTGTGTAACATAAATGATTTTTTTAAAATTCCAAATGTTTAAATCACAAAAAGTTAAATAACTTTATAAAAATGTTGTCTTGCCTCTTTGATGTCTTTATGGTTCTCGTCAATGAATATAAGAAACTTTTAATTTCAGGATTATAAATATAGGTTTGAAGTTGCATAATTTCTCTTCTTTAGGCGACAAGAACTCCTAAAAGAGAGATGACATCTACTGCTCTACATATAAGGATGAACAGAACTGTTATAGGAACATACTCCTCATTATTATCATTTTTATATATATATAATATATATACTAGCTTGGGAACCCGTCGTGGCCCAGAGAACTCGTAGTTACTCCCGCCGTTTACCCGCGCTTGGTCGTAAATTAAAATTTTAGCCATTTATCCCCATACAAGCCAACCCACTCAATTTAAAATCTCAAAACCAAGCTAGAAATATCCTTTGATTCTCTGAGTTCCCCAATTAAAATTTGAGGCTAATCGGTCAAAGGGTTCTTGAGTTATGATTGGACAGACAAAAAGAGATTATAATATATATTTCTGTTTGCTTGTCTTTTTTCAAAACGTCAAAATTTTGTCACAATTTTGTGATAACTGAAATAACCTCTAGGGAAAGGATTAAAAAGCGTCAAAGCAGAAAGATTTGTGCCATTTGCAATGCTTCTAGGTCATTGAACTAGGACCAATCATTCACTTGATCGTCTTCCTGTTGCACAGTTTTATGTGCCCCACAGTATGTATGTGAGCTTGGATCAAAATGTTCTACATGTTGAGAATGAGAATGAGTAGAAGGATTGCATGATATTGTGTCAGTGCTAGAGGATCATCTGAAACCCTTAGTGCAGGTCATACTTTATTAAATTAAGATTTCGAAATATTTGATTTAGTTGAAACAGTTTAAGTAATGAGATAATTTAAAGATGGAAGCAACTTGGGACCCCCCCACCCCTCCTCCCCACCTATCAACCCCCCATGACACATTGTAACGTTAATGCCCCCTTTAAATGATAATTATGATATTATAGTTAGTTCGATTATAGATTTTACGTGGGCTTGAGTTGAGGGTAATATTTATTTATTTTTTACTTGTGAATGGTAAAAAATATCGAAATATTGTCATTTGCTTAGTTTAATAATGAGTCCTTATAATTCTTTTGTAGTCTTCATATTGGGATATTGAAAAATATTGGAAAACCCAAATAATCAACAATAATATTTAATTATCAACATTCAAATTTGTTCCAACCATTCTGCTTAGTTCAAGTTTTTAACTTTAAAAATTAAAGACTGCGCTTGTTATTTTTCAGCTAAATTTGTGTTTTTATTAGTTTTTGGTCTTTTGTTATTTAGAAAGTAATTCGCATATAAAAGCAGCTGGCTAATGGCTATGCCTAGATATTGGTTCGTTTATGTACTCTATAAACCTTAATATTATTAATTTTACTGTACTGCAGGCTGAGGTATCTGAACTGGTTGATGTACTCTATAGACCTAAATATTATTAATTGTACTGTACTGCAGTCTGAGGTGTCTGAACTGGTTGATGTACTCTATAAAACTAAATATTATTAATTGTACTGTACTGCCGGATGAAGTGTCTGTACTGGTAGATGTACCCTTTAAACCTTAATATTATTAATTGTACTGTACTGCAGGCTGAGGTGTCTGTACTGGTAGATGTACTCTATAGACCTGAACTTCTCTTCCCTACAGGTTTATTTTCTACTTTTTATTCTCTAAAATGTGTAATTTAATGTTACCTTGTTACTTTTCAGAAGCATTAAAGCCGAAAAAGCTATTTTTATTTCAAATGTGAAAATTATCTAGACCTCTTCTGAACTTTAAATGTTTTAAATGTTTAAAACCAATAATCTCATCTTGAGTAAATAGAAAACAAGCTATCCTACTCTATCTAAACTAAATCTTATTCATGAAAATTTAAAGCAATTCTACATTTTTGCAATGCGTAGGTCTACAGAATTAGAATTCATAAATAAATGTTAAAAATTGTTGCATCTTTGCAACCTGGGAGTGTAAGCCAGATAACTCTTCAAAACTTAACCATTTGTTCTGGCAGAGCCATCAGTATGCGGAAACAAACAACTGTTGTAAAGATAGAAAGACTAGAAAATTCACCAATGAGGATATTTTAGTAAATAAAATATAAATGATCTTTTAGTTTTTTGGTCAAATTTGTAGATTCCTGTTCTCTCATTTGTCCAATCTTCGAATTAGAAACATGTTAAAAATAAATCTTGGAAAAAATGTCATTTGATTCCAAATTTTATTCGGGTTTAGCGTATAACCCTTTAAATTTTCGCGAACACTCACTTTAACTAACTCCTTTATACTTGTGTCAGGTCCTGATCCCCGTCGTAAATGTGAGAACGGTGGATTTATTCGTCGTCTTATCAATCATACAGCAGCTCTTCTAGGCAATCAATATTATAATACAAAACAGTTTAACAAACTTAATGAAGTAAACATAAGGAGAATTTAAAAACTTTGAGAGTATTAAGGCGAAGTGTAGAACGAAGCATGAACAAAATTGTTATTGTAATTATTTTCTGTAACATTAAGTTTATTGAATACTTTTTGTAAAAATAATCCTTAAAGTCTCTTTTTCGAGGTACTATCAGCTATTAGAGCGGTTAATTTGATACAAGTTCAATTTTTTGTTAATCAAAAATATTGGTTGGTTTAGAGGACAAGCAGGACCGTCTTTGCGTCCAGATCCTGCAGACCTTGAAGGACATGATGTCCTCAGACTCGGAATACGGGGACAAAGGGGACCTACTCAGGAAAAAGCAGTTTAAAGCTTTTTTGAAAATTTTATTGCATATATCCTGGAACCTGGTTTCTAAAGTATGTACTAGGTTAAAATGGAACTCAAACTTCATTCTTGATTAAGTAAATGTACTTTAAATGTCGGTAGACGGAAAGAAGGGCATCCCTAAAAATCTGATTTGATTTAAATAATGTTGGTGTGAGACAAGAAATTTAGGTTGAATTTGGTCTTGATAAAGCCTAGAAAGAATAGAATCTTAAGATTCCTTCATTGTTCTCCCTTTCTGTTTGCTTATTATCTTCTAATTATTTGTCTTAGCTTCTTATAAGCTGCTCTTTTTACAGAACCTCTCTTTTGAATCGATACTTTGGAAAGATACCTCTTCCTCCAATGCAATGTAACAACAACCTTCATTTGCCCGCCAGGTTGGATTTAAGACGACATTGAATTCATAGTTTTCGGCCATTTTGTCTTAATTATAAATTATTTAATTTAAGACGAAATTTAATTCATAGTGTTTTGCCATTTTGTTTCTAAACTTAATCATAAACTATTTAATTTAAGACGACATTTAAACCATAGTTTCGGCCATTTTGTTTTCAAACTTAATTATAAATCAATTAATTTAAGCGACATTAAATTCATAATTTAGCTCATATTGTTTGTTTATTCTTATATTCCTTTTTTACAGTTTTAGTCACGGTCCTGGAAGTAAGAAGCTGTTGAGAGCGCAGATGAATCTTCATCAAGTTCAGTGTCATCTTGATAACCAGGTTCATGGAGTACATTAATATTGAGCACTCTACACTATGCAGTGCCATCTTGATAGCCAAGTTCATGGAGTACAGTATTATTGTACACCTATCATAGAGCACTTTACATTATACAGCGTCATCTTGATAGCCAAGTCATGGAGTACAGTATTCTTGTACACCTATCATAGAGCACTCTACACTATACAGTGCCATCTTGATAGCCAAGTTTATTGAGTACAGTATTCTTGTACACCTATCATAGAGCACTTTACACTATGCAGTGTCATCTTGATAGCCAAGTTCATGGAGTACAGTATTCTTGTATACCTATCATAGAGCACTTTACACTATACAGCGTCATCTTGATAGCCAAGTTCATGGAGTACAGTATTCTTGTACACCTATCATAGAGCACTTTACACTATACAGTGCCATCTTGATAGCCAAATTCATGGAGTACAGTATTCTTGTACACCTATCATAGAGTACTTTACACTATACAGTGTCATCTTGATAGCCAAGTCATGGAGTACAGTATTCTTGTACACCTATCATAGAGCACTTTACACTATACACTGTCATCTTGATAGCCAAGTTCATGGAGTACAGTATTCTTGTACACCTATCATAGAGTACTCTACACTATACAGTGTCATATTGATAGCCAAGTTCATGGAGTACAGTATTCTTGTACACCTATCAAAGAGCACTTTACACTATACAGTGCCATCTTGATAGCCAAGTTAATGGAGTACAGTATTCTTGTACACCTATCATAGAGCACTTTACACTATACAGTGCCATCTTGATAGCCAAGTTCATGGAGTACAGTATTCTTGTACACCTATCAAAGAGCACTTTACACTATACAGTGCCATCTTGATAGCCAAGTTAATGGAGTACAGTATTCTTGTACACCTATCATAGAGCACTTTACACTATACAGTGCCATCTTGATAGCCTAGTTCATGGAGTACAGTATTCTTGTACACCTATCATAGTGCACTTTACACTATACACTGCCATCTTGATAGCCAAGTTCATGGAGTACAGTATTCTTGTACACCTACCAAAGAGCACTTTACACTATACAGTGCCATCTTGATAGCCAAGTTCATGGAGTACAGTATTCTTGTACACCTATCATAGAGCACTTTACACAATATAACGTCATCTTGATAGCCAAGTTCATGGAGTAGACTATTATTTTACAATTAACATAGAGCACTTTGCACTATACCGTGTCATATTGATAACCAGTCAGGTTTATGGAGTATATAACAATTGTACACTTAACATGAATCACTTTACTCCGTACAGTGTCATCTTGATAACCAGGTTCATGGAGTATGTCATTTTTTTAAACTGGTACAGGTACTTGAAGCACATTATTTGTGTACAGTTTCATTTTAATAACCAGGTTCATCGAGTAAAATTTCTTTTGTACACTGCCGAAAATGTCATTCTTAGTAAGGTTCATTGTGTACAATGTGTTTTCCATAGAGTACGATTGTTTAGGGTTCAAGTTCTCTGATAGTGGATTTAGTAATAAAATCTGGAAAATCTACGTCCAGCCCTAGAATATTTACAGGTCAAATTTCACATAATGATAAATTAAATAATTTTAAAGCATAATAACTATTTTTTTATTTTATTTTAGAAGTTGTAGAATTTGGAATTGCGCTACTAGAAGGAGGAAACATGGATATTCAAAAATCTCTCTACACAAAACTTCGCTCAGGAAAAAAATTAAGAAATTAAAATTTTCAAATTATTTTTAAAATTATTATTTGTTTTTAGCGACGGTTATAAAATTACACAAAACGTTTGATATAAATTGCAGACTTGTCTGGAATAAATATTTTTTATGTTTACTATATTTACATTTTACAAAGATCTTCTAATCTTCAAATCTTTAAATTTTTGATTTATCAAACCCCATCGGGGAAGTATCCATAATTTACTATTTAAAATATGATTGGCAAGTTGTAATTAATGGCTGTTTATATATGGCGTCATGGCTCTTGGTCGTGTGCTGGAACCTGTTATAAAAAAGTAATAGCAATAGGAAAGTTTTATGCTGAAACTCCATAGTCAACTTGGTAGCTGTTAGCAAAATTCATCATCTTCAAGATTTGAAACTTTTAATTTATCATTGAAAAATTGCTAGGAGATACCAGTCAGGCGTTCTTTAAGGTCTTCTTTGATAAAATAAAGGTAGTTTTTATGTTTTAAATGCTCTTAATATTTGATTGTGATTTTGGAAGTATGTAAATTTTTGTCTTTTTGTCTTTATGTCAACGCCCCCTACTTCAAAAAAAACAAAATAAAACCGCCATTACAGAAACTTGAAAATTTATTTTTATAATATCTAATTCATACTTGGCTCATTATACTGTGTTAATTCATAAAACTTACTGGCAGATTTTTACTTACAACATTTCTAAATTTATTAAACCTAGACCTTAAACACTCACTGCCACGCTAGTGAAGCGGTCCAGCTATCTGTACTAGTTAAACTATGTGTACTAGTTCAACTATCTGTCCTAGTTCAACTATCAGTAATAGTTCAACTATCTGTTGTTGTTCAACCACTTTTTGTTTTTCGTAATTGTATATCTTCTTAGTTTAAACTCATACTATAAAAAGGCCTGAGGACTTAATTTCGAGTGATTTTTCATGAATAGATTCAAGACTGTGCCTTTAAGTCTTAGTCTCATCGAGAATGAATGAATTATTTCTGTTATAATTTTTTTACACATTGATTATTTTCACAAAAGGGACTAGCAGATTTTCTTTCTACAGTAACAATTGAGGAATTTGTCTGAATTAAACACTTTTCAAACCAGAACAACGGCAATATCATCCAGATATTGATGAGATGGAGTTTAAAGGATATCATTGGGAATCGTGCATACCACTCTTTAAATTACAATGACATAATATATAAAGAATGTTGCTTGTTAGGAGGCTCAGCAAGAAATCAAGAGCTCTGTGACGGTCAACACGTCAGATATGACCAGTAGGGAGGAGGTCAAAGACGGCACAAAGGAGATTGAGAAGGTCAGTAAATGTAAATATTTAGAGAAAAAAAAGAAGATATGAGGAATTCATTGATTTCTAGTGGGATGGATGAATTTCAATCATTAGCTGCTAGATTAAAGTAAAAAGCTTTACTTTTTAACGGGAGTAGAAACTTTATTTTTAGTGCAATTTCTTAGAGGCATTCAACATTTCGTAAAATATTTAAAAAGAGAAAATTTTCTGAGAAAAAAAAAATAAAATTGTAGATGAAGATTTAATACCTTCACAGCAGTCACCGTAGTAATAATAGTATTTAATGTTCTTTCATTTCCCCAGAAATTTATGCCAAAAAATATATTTTATTTTTTTATTTTTTCATTTTTGGTTGTTAATGTTAAGGCGAAGAGGAAAAGGCGGTTGATGAACGGTCATGTTGTTCTGACAGAGGAGGGTCGGGAGGAGATGGACCAGGCAGCAATAAGGTAAACATTAACATATGTTTTTTTTTCAGAAACCCTTTTCAAATAGAATTAAACAAGCCCGGCCCCCGTTCAAGACATATTTACATCGTTAATAAAAAATAAGGTATAAGGTATATAAATAAGAATTTTTAACAACTCCATTTCTTCAGCCTTTAAGAATAGAATCAGACAAAAATGAGGTTAAATGGGGTCTTTTTTAGAACCCCTATCCACAACTTTTTGAATTAATTCTGACAGGAATCTATATTTATATATATATACTTTGCTTGTCTGTTTGTCTGTCTGTCTGTCTCCAAGAAAGGTTTATGAATGAAAAAAAATTCAAAAATTAGCCTCCAACAAAATTCTATTTTTATTAAATCTTAAGAATCCACGAAATTTTTGTTTTATAAAATCCGCAAAACTTTTTTGGCTTTTGTATACAAAGAGAAACTCTTGAATTGAAATAAAAGATGAGCGTGAAGCGCCTTGAAAACCTAGTTGAAATAGAATTAGACAACAATAAGGTGTAAACAAGCCCCCTCCCAGACAATTCACATAGTTTGTTTCAGGTATAAGGTATATAAAGAAAAATTTAAAAACAACCCCCTTCACCAACCTTTTATAAAGGAATCTCACAATAATGTGAAAAAGGGCCTTTTAAATTAAATTCTGACTGAAAAAAGGTAAAAAATAAACTATAATCTTTGCAACGCAACCTAAAATTAAGACATTAAAAAGTAAACAAATACAAAAACTTTTCATTGATATTGATTGCCATCTTTAGTATATTTGCGGTCCGAAACAATATAAAGGAATGTCATCAAAACCTTGTTTTTCTAAGAAAAAAAGCTACCTGTAAAATTTTAATATCGAAATGCACAACTAATGTGCAAATATGGGAAAATATTTAAATAATATTTGACTCACCGATAAAGGGCATTGACTCAAACCAACTTAGCGTGTAATGAACAGATTTAGAATTCATTAGTATTGACCACAGTTAATTCAGCACTCAGTCAGCATTTTCTGCAATCCGGGGAGGAGATGGTAGAGCTCTTCCTCCCCTTACACCAGGACTAGAAGATCTACTAGCAGAGAAGGTCAGAAACTAGTCTTAAAGGGACTGTTCAGTTAATTCATTTTAGGAGAAGAACAATCCCTCTAAATATGATTTTGTTAAAGTTGAGAACAATTCCTTTAATTTTTATGTTAATTTTGAGAGCAATCCTTTTAATTCCTATGCTATGGTAAAGCGCAGTCCCTTCAATTTCTATGTCAATGTTTTTTTATAAATAATATTTAGTTCACAACTTGTTTTCACGGCTCACTGCTGGCGCTGGATTTTCGAACATTCCTGAAAAATATGAAACTGTCGTCTTCATTATCAAAATTTCTCGAAACAGGAATAAATGTTTTCAAAAGTAGCTCACTCTCAGATCATTAAAAAAATATATTATGAATTCTCCACTATATAGGAATGCGTTGAAAAATTATCGTTGATTATAGGTTGTATAATATCTGAAAGATTTGTTGAGAAATTAAAGTGATTTTTTCTCCGATTCGAGTCGAATGTTACAACTTTCTGTTTTTGTATGAGTCGTTTTTAACAATTAATTTGCTCCTTGAGGACGCAACAGATAGTAGCGATCACCATCGTTAATTTTTTCCACATTATAAGCCTTTCATTTTTCCCGAACACTCCCTTTCAGGTTGAGAGAAGTAGAGAGAAGGATGAGGAGAATCAGCTGTCTACTAAGGTTGTTGTAATGCAACCTATTCTAAGGTAGATCTACATTAACTAGAGTGTCGAGTTCAGAGAAAATCTTTTAAATTTTTAGAAATATCGGGGATTTCCAAAATTACGAGAAAAAACTTATGTTTGTACATTGAGGGCGGGGGAAGCACGCCGCACCTGCAGGGCTTTATTTTTTTATTTTTTAGTGACCCTTAATGCATAGAGAGAAAACTTTTATCTAAAATGGGTACCCTTAAACCCTTAAACTGATCAAAAATGTCAAAGACACAGTCGTTTTTCAGACTCGAACCTTGTTTATTTGTGTGAATTTCTGCATTTTTTATAAAAGCAAGAAATGCGCAAGTTATTTTTGCAGAGAAACACAATTGAAAATATTAAAAAACAAAAACATGGATATCTAATTTTTACTTGATCAGACAAAGCTTGTATGAGTACCGTTGGTAAACTGGGCATTCTCTCCTTTGCATGGAGGGTCACTTGATATTACACAGTACACACACAGTCCAGAATGCAGAAATCAAACAGGACAGCCAGAAAACAAGATTGGACAAATGATTGTATGCATTCTGCATTAAAAACATGTATCGATAAATCTGTCTTATATTAAATCTAGGGGGGGGGGGGGATTGTTAAAAAACATTGTTAAAAATGTTTCTAATTAGGTTTCTGCAGCTGTTGTGTGAAAACCACAATAAGTTCCTTCAAAACCTTCTCCGAGATCAGAATAATAAAACTAAATACAATCTAGTTTCAGAAACCCTCATACTACTAGGTCAGTGACAACAAACAGAGATGTATATATGTATGTATGTATATATGTATATGTCGTGAAATGCAGAAATAAATTTTGTAATCTGTCTTTGTTAAAAAAGATTTTAAGCCACTTTTTTTAATGAATCTGTTGCAAAACACAAATTAAAAAGAATAAAAGACGATGATAATTCTACTGTTTTCTGGTTTCTACTGTTTAATCATTACTATTAAATAGTGGATACAAATCTTGCATAGAAATATCAAGTTAACAAGTTTTCGCAACAAACTTAAATTTTCCAAATCTTAAATTTTTGCTATCTTTCATATTTCAAATAGTAAAGGTCTACAACATCGGGTTGCAACGATATAGGGATTAGAAAAGTTGAGTTTGTGGCAAAAATTCAGTTCCTTTCCCCATTTTTTTATATTCACATTCCTAGCTTCAGGTTTATTCATTCAAATTTCATTGTTTTTATTTGAAATCAGCAATAGTAAAGTATGAAATATGTGTTTTATTGTTCATTAAATCTTATTTTCAGACTGTATTTGTGGAAGTACAACTGGCGGACTTGGACTTTTAGGTAATCTTTCTTTTTGAAAACATTTTCACGTCCATTGTAATTATCCATGGACAGAGAGTCAATGTTTTTTTTGCTAACTCATAACTCCACTAGTTTAAATTTTACACCAAGAAGGAAAGGCAAGTCTGTTATAGAATTATTATTATTACTATCTCTATTGCTTCCCGGAAAAAGAAGTTGTGTTAGAATTGAAATTTTCTTGAGTTCGACGGTTTTTGAATAATGAAGCTTATCCGACATTTAATATTTAGGATTATATATTAACGAGAATAATGTTGGAATAATTAATCAAATTATGGAAACATTGACAGAGTACTGCCAGGGACCTTGTTATGAAAATCAGGTGAGGTTATTAAGAAGTGTATGGCAGCTTATTTTTAAATCAAAGAAATCTCACATCTCCTGAAAACTGTAAAAGACGTTACGTCAAGGAATCCTCCTTTTCAGAAGGAACTGCCTATTTCACAGCGGAACCTTTATTTGATGACTTATGTAGAAAATATGATTTTTTTGGTTAAAATGTGTTAAATTCTTACAATTTTCTTTCATTGTCTCAGAAGCAAAAGTCTGCAAGTTCCTTATGTACAATTGAAAGAATTCAAAGAAAAAAAACATAATTATCTTATTAATTATTGGTGAAACAAATCTTTGTAAAACTAAACCATTAAAACTGGAGGGTCATCCAAATTAGGTCTAATCAGTTCCTTTTTAAGAAAGAAATACTCAGATAAAGTGTGAGAGGCTATCGTTGTGAATTGTGCAATTGACATGTATTGCTAAATTGCTAAATAAAGGGTCAATGGACATGTATTGCTAAATCGCTAAATAAAGGGTCAGAACTCGAAATGAGGTGGAAAGTCTCTTTAAAGGGACTGTGAGCATAGTTTTAAGTGATCCTCCATGCTAAGATGGCAATGCCAGATATAATATTAAAATCTTAATATAATCAATTGTGTGATACTAATGTCGTTTTTTAGGTTTAAAAGTATAAAGTTTGATAATTCCTATTTGTTTCTTGCAATATAGACCAGTTTTCTTGCAATATAATATAGTCCAGTTTTCTTGCAATACAGTCCAGTTTTCTTGCAATACAGGCCAGTTTTCTTGCAATACAATATAGACCAGTTTTCTTGCAATACAATATAGACCAGTTTTCTTGCAATATAGACCAGTTTTCTTGCAATATAGACCAGTTTTTTTGGAATATAGACCAGTTTTCTTGCAATATAGACCAGTTTTCTTGCAATATAGACCAGTTTTCTTGCAATATAGACCAGTTTTCTTGCAATATAGACAAGTTTTCTTGGAATATAGACCAGTTTTCTTGCAATATAGACTAGTTTTCTTGCAATACAGTCCAGTTTTCTTGCAATATAGACCAGTTTTCTTGCAATATAGACGAGTTTTCTTGCAATATAATATTGACCAGTTTTCTTGCAATATAATATAGACCAGTTTTCTTGCAATATAGACCAGTTTTCTTGCAATATAGTCCAATTTTCTTGCAATATAATAGAGACCAGTTTTCGAAATTGGAAATGTTAATATTTAATGCATAATTCATCAGACAAAACTTTTAATGGTACCGTTGTGAATCGGGCATTGACATATTTGCACAGAGGGTCACTTGAAATTGTGCTTACAGTCCCTTTAAGCTTGGACAAAACATGCCCTGATTATTTTAATGCTGATATTTTAAAATTGAAAAAAAAAATCTTGAGTCGTCTTTAATTACTTTCAACCCCCTATCTATAAATGATATCTTTAGACGCCGAATGAATTTTAATTCAAACTGCATTCAAATATTTCTACTTGTAGGCTTGTATCGCGACCCATGAATCTAATGGTCTGGGAATAATAACAGCTCTGATCTTGAATGACATAAACCCTCTTGGTAAAACAAGAATGGATCTTGTTCTTGAACTCAAGAACAACGCTTCTAAGCTTCTTCTTGCCATCATGGAATCCAGGTAACCAAATCTTGAAATTATTTCATAAAAATATTATCGATTGAAATATGAAAAGTCGAAATAAAGAACGTAAGTTTTTAAAAAGATCAACAGACATCACAAAATCTTGATTGTTTAAAAACCCATGACAAAATATGTTCAGAAAATTTGTTAATAAAATAACAATGAGAAATATATTTATCAGTTTTAAATCTTATTTAGAACTATATGTGATACTGAAAACGTAGCCGAGAAAATCCTCTACAATATGAATCCCAAGCAGTTGATAGAAGTCGCTTGCAAAGCTTATCATCAAGGTAAAGTTTAGTTAGAAGCCCGCCCTAGAACCAGAGAGAATAGAATATATATTAGAGGGGAATTTAGAGAATCTTTCTGTATGAGTTTTTTCAGTCCCTTTCAGCCTGAAAGAGAGTTCAAAGTGTACAAATCATGTAAATGTTCACAAATTATATGCAGTAGAGTACATTAATACAGTATGTTCCCTAGACTATCCATTTCAATTTTGAATTTTTTAAACTGTTAAATAAACTTTATAATGAATTAGGTGAAAAAAAACATCATTTGATTTATAGTTAAAACGGAAAATCATCGTTTGTAAAGTGGAAGGCATAGAGTCTATGTGAAATGATCATTGGTCAATTATGAAACCAGCCTATTTCATAATTTGGTTTTTTTAACAATAATTTTAGATTTTCTATGAAATGATATTCCAGGGCCCAAAAGGTTATATAGCATAAATATGTGAAGTACATCTGCAGTATGGAAACAGTACAACAAAATGGCCGTTTTACACTTTTTTCTAGTAAATTCCCCTCTAATATATATTCTATTCTCTATGACTAGAACTAGCCATGACACTTTTGATACTTTAAACTGAAGAGTGAAGGAAATAGCTATTTTTTTGCTAGTTTTGTTTGAAGGAAAGAAAAATTAGTACTTTAAAAGTTATGGACTGAATGTTTACCTTAAAATTATCTTTCTTTTATTCTTATATTCTGGGTTCTCCAATCTGGGATGGGGCTTTCAGATCTCTTTCCTGATATTCCTGATTTAGGCCTGATATCTTAGAACCAAATGTTCTGAATTTAAAGTATAAATAAGGGGGAGGATTTTTTTGCACTTCGCACTTTATTTTGATCTGAATAATGTAGCCTAATTGGCAATCACTGAACAATCGTTGCGCTTGAATGTCATATTTTTGGAATTTTGCCCACGGGAATGTTTTTAAATTAGTTAAAAGATTCTAAGTTGAGTGGGTCGACTTTAATTTCGAAAATTAAGTTTCCCGGTAAAATCGTTCAAGTGTCGGTAAATGGCGTAAGTAAATTTTAGTTACCTTGGCACTGCTGGGTTCCCAAACTAGTATATACAAGATAAAGTAGGCCAACGGCTGAACCAAATTGGCTACATTTTTTAGGAATCCCAAGGGTGCACGGGGGCTATAGGCTAATAAAATTCTTAAAATAAGTTCAGAAGTTAAGAACATTTTCTATTATTCATTAGATATGTTATTGCCGGAGACAGTGTTTCATATTTAATATATTTATATTTTGTGTCTATAGATAGTTTGGATGAGGATGAAGATGATCCTGGGGATCCTGAGAATGGAGTTTCACCAAAGGAAACGACTTTACTTACTTTTTTATATTATTAATCGTTATTTCTTACCAATAATGTCTTTAGGGTTGCTTTAGCTACAATTTTAATGTAAATATTGTTTTCGTTTGTTGATGAGGTTATTTTTTATGTTTTAGTTAATGTTATTGATGTGCATGTTGTTTTACATGTTTTACATGATTGTTATTGTTAATACTGATATTGATGTTATTGATCGTTATGCAGTTGCTTATGTTATTAAGATAATTCAATGGAAAGATGGCAATGCCTGATTCACACGGTAGTCTGATAAAGTATTATGATACAATCTTACAATTTTCAAATCTGATTATTTTCAAATGCAGTGGTTTCTCAACAAAAGTGACTTGCGCATTACTATACTGCAGGAAAAAATATTCAAATAATGGTTTAAATTGTGCATTGTCAGCTTGAAATTAGGCTTACAGTCCCTTTAGACAAGGAATACATACCAATACATCCATTCAGTTCTTACTGGCATGGTTCTTATTTTCAAAAAACAGTTTACTGTACTGCAAAGTTTAATGTATTGTTGTACCGTACAGGTTGTTGGTCATAACATCTACATACTTTGTCATCAGCTAGCATTGTATAATAAGGAGATATCTGCCCTACTCCAGCCAACGCAAGTAAGTCGAACAAAATTATTAAATTTTTTTAAATTTTGTTTTCCTTTGATATGTAAAAATAATTCGTCAGTTTGGTTGGATTTGAAAATGTTTTATTTTTCTCTTTTCAAATTAGTAACTGAAAATAGGGGCACCCCGAGTTTTAGAAATTTTTTGTACACACTAAAAATATTATCATGATCGTAACCATTTTTTCCTTTATTAGTATTAATTCTACAATTTTTGTTCCTTAGAGCTGTGAAATCATAGTCAAAAAACACCAATAATTATTTCAAAATGTGAAAAAATATTATGTTAATCTTTTCTTATAATTTTCATCATCATTAATATTATCAATATGATTATTATTATCATCATTGATATCAATCAATATGATTATTATTTTCATCATTGGTATTAATATTATTATTATTTTAATCATTGATATTAATATTATTATTATTTTCATCATTGATATTAATATTATTATTATTTTAATCATTGATATTAATATTATTATTATTTTCATCATTGATATTAATATTATTATTATTTTAATCATTAATATTAATATTATTATTATTTTAATCATTGATATTAAAATTATTATCATTTTAAGGATATGATGGATATGAAGATGGTTGAAGCTCTAGGGTTCTATTCCACCCACACTGCCCAAATAGAAGTCGTCAGATATGATCGTAGTTTAGGTAATTAGTAATTAATATCAAGTATGTTATTAATTAAATATGGAATGTATTATTTATTTAAATATAAATAATTAAATTAGTTAATTAAGTATTAATTAGTTTAAATCGGAAAACTCTTAGCCTTTTTTTAAATCATGGTTTATTTCTTAAACTCTTGGTGTTTTCTTAAAATTTATGATGATGTTTTCTTAAAATTTATGGTATTTTCTTAAAATTCTTGGTTTATTTATTAAAATTCATGGTGTTTTCTTAAAATTCATGATTTAATTCTTAAAATTCATGGTGTTCTCTTAAAATTCATGGTTTATTTCTTAAAATTCATGGTGTTTTCTTTAAATTCATGGTTTATTTATTAAAACTCTTAGTTTTTTCTTTAAACTCAGGTTTGTTTCTTAAAATTCATGGTGCTTTCTTTAAATTCGTTGTTTATTTCTTAAAATTCATGGTTTATTTCTTTAAATTCATGGTGTTTTCTTTAAATTCATGGTGTTTTCTTAAAATTCATGGTTTATTTCTTAAAATTCAAGGTTTATTTCTTAATATTCATGGATCTAGTTTCTTAAAACTCATGGTGTTTTCTTAAAATTCGTGGTTTTATTTTTAAAAATTCATGGTGCTTTCTTAAAATGTATAGTTTATTTTTTAAAATTCATGGTTTATTTCTTAAAATTCCTGGTTTTTCTCTGGAAATTTATGGTTTATTTCTTAAAATGCATGGTTTTATTTCTTAAAATGCATGGGTTTTATCTTAAAATTCATGGTGTTTTCTTAAAATTCATAATTATTTTTGGTTTTCAGAACAAATAGTTTTCCCGATACCAGAGATCTGTGAATACCTCACGCCTGAAACTCAAAAGAAAGTGTACATGCAGGTACATATATTAGATACAAAGTGTACATGCAGGTACATATATCAGATGCAAAGTGTACATGCAGGTACATATATCAGATGCAAACCGTGCATAGACTTCCTGTACATTGTAAATTGAACAACATGTATTTGTTAGACTTGAAAGTAAAACTAAAGTAAAATGAGAAACTATTTTCTACGAGACATCCTGTACTGTAGTTGATGTCAATCCGTTCAATTACATAAATAAGAAAAAACATGTAGAAATCACTGGTTTTTTTTATATTTTTGCACGTTGCAGTCAAAGTGCAGTCAAATTATATTAATTTCCTCTTTTTTTAATCTGCAGATTAGTTAAATCTTTATTTGGTGATCCAGAAAAGTGTATCAAATTCCGAGTGTCGTTTGCAGAAACTGAAGAGCCAATATAAAGGAGTAAGCAGAAAAGCAAAAGTGTCCAGAGTGGTTATCAGGATCCATACAAAATATTTTCCAGCTAAGTTTAGATTATTATTATTATTTAGGCAAGACGGGATGATCAAGGTTCTAAGGTCTCAGATTTCTTCGCAAAATCCGAGAATATGTTTATTGAGATGAACTGGCAAAAGAAACTTAGGAAAATATATTCATTTATTTATTCATTTTTTTCATTTATTCATTTTTTATTCATTTATTCATTTATTCATTTATTCATCCTTTCATTTATTCATTCATTCATTCATTCATTCATTCATTCATTCATTTATTCATTTATTCGTTTATTCATTTATTCATTTATTCATTTATTCATTTATTCATTTATTCATTTATTCATTTATTTTATAGTGCTATCCTTCTATCCATTTACAGGTAATTTAATATTCTACTGTTCCCTAGTTCTAAACCATATAGTGCTATCCTTCTATCCTTATAGTCTTTATTATTACAAGTTTAAATTAAACTTCAGTCTTAATTGCTCATTTTGCAAGAAGACAATTTCTGCCTTAAGATTATTCTATTTTAAGAGTTTCGTGGTCGTCATTAAAATTTAATCCTGTATGGGTATCTATGTTTTAAATCCGGTTTTAAATGATTTAATTAATGGTTTTTTGGTGGATCAAACAAAAAAATACCCTTATAACGTATTTGCCTACAGTGTCCCTTTATGAGAAGGGTATTTAACGAAATAATTTTGATAAAGCTCATAACGGCAAACTTGGTGTAGAAGAGTTAGTTGTCTTGGCCAAAAACCCCTTTTTACTCGTTTTCCTCAATTTTGCCTTTATTACAGTTTGTACGAAAATAGTTATAAATATAAACCCACTATTCTAGGTGCTGTGTCCTTGCCTGGGCCTTATGTAAGTGGACTTATTTGGGCCTTCCTCCTCCTATCTGCGGCTGTACTTGGTAAAAAATCTTTTTAAATGCTAATTTGTTTCTTACTTTTTTACTTGTGTTGATTTGATCAAACTTCAACATAGAGAGAAGGATTGGAACTACTAAAAAACACAGTGCATTTTTTTTAGTTAAATATATTTAAAACCATTCAGGATGGGATGGGACTGAATTTTCTTAACAGTGACTAGTCAGGATACAAAGCTGTGCATTGATTTTTAAATAATTAATTTTCTTAGTTTTCCCCCTGGATTATTAGAACTAAGAGAGGAGAATATGGAATGTTTAAAGGGAGTGCATGGCTTGACATGGTAGTTGAGCTGAGAATGTAGTATTGTAGAGAATTTTTTTATTCATTTGAGACCTATGAGATGTTTTTACGGTGTAGAGTTTTCAAGCAAAAGCGCAAATTCAATCTTTAAAATCCTAATAGATTGTTCATTTTGGAGGGATACTTTAAAAAATCGGTGTTTAAAAAATCATTTTATAACGACGACAAATAAATGTAACAAAAATCCTACAGTATGACAGCTTGTCTTTGAATCTGATTAAGAAAAAAAATTAACAAGACAGAAGGAGTACACTGTTTGTTTACAAAAAAAAGCTAGTTCCTAAGCTATCCTTGATCGTCCCAATAGAATGTAAAAAAAACTTATCTCCACGGTAAATTTAATTGTTCTAATAATTATTTTGTTTTCAGTAACAATTCCTTCAAAGATCTCTGTGATGAGCTTGGTGGTTGCTTGTCTACTAAGAATGGTTGTATCATTAGGACCAGAGTTCTCTCTCTCATTCCTTGGTTTACTTCTAGTCCTACTCAAGGGTAGGTTATATCATTAGGACCAGAGTTCTCTCATTCCTTGGTTTACTTCTAGTCCTATTTAAGGGTAGGTTGAAAGCTTACAAATCAAAATTATACAAATGCTGTTTTTTTTTTAACGTTAGACTTCGTAATCTGTATTGCCTATTATGCAGATTTCGTAATCTTAATGGCCTATTATGCCTGTTAGATTTTTTTTGAAGAAAAACTCTTTATTATGATCTTATGTTATAAGTTCGATGAATTTGGAGATTTTTTTATTGTCCAAAAAGACTTTTATGACAGGTAAACATCAAGGTTAAAAAGTTCTTTGTTCTGGGCTATGGATATTATTTATGTTTAGGGGGCAAACTTACTTTTAAATTACGAAAACAGTCCCTTTTGTGTTTAAACACATTTTTGTTGTAGGTATTCATCTGATCAGTATCATGGGGAATATGGGAACATTTAATAAATCCCTATCTCAGGTAAAATCTAATGAACTTTTTTAATCTGTATTTTTTAAACTGTGGAAAAGAAAGACGACTTTTTGTCTCAACTTAAAATTTGTAATATATTAATTAATATGAAACCTGTGTGTATTGTACACTATGCGCACACGGCGAAATAATGATAATAATAATGATAATGATAATGATAATGATATGATAATGATAATGATAATGATAATGATAATGATAATGATAATGATAATAATAATGATAATGATAATGATAAAGATAATGATAATGATAATGATACTGATAATGATAAAGATAATGATAATGATAATGATAATGATAATGATAATGATAATGATAATGATAATGATAATGATAATGATAATGATAATGATAATGATAATGATAATGATAACGATAATGATAATGATAACAATGATAATAAAAATACTGATATTGATAATATGTAGATACTGGGTGAGTATGAACTAATGTATGATATATTCCTCTTAATTCTCTCCATAGTTGGTCTAACGATGCACCCATTCTTCTACTCAGCATTGGTAATTATATAAACATACATTAATTTCACAACTTTATGGGATAACAAAAATTATTTACTACTTCAGACAGCTGAGTTTCTATCACAACTTCACGGATTTCTCTGCCGTCGATTATCCCTATCTTCCCAATCTTTTTTCACCTGAAATTACGTTTACGTTTACGTTTTTTTAATATCTTGAGTTGTCTAATGTTTTAACTTTCAAATGGATTTAGTAAAAAAGTAAGATTTCAACTTATGTTGAATATTTGTTCAGTTGTTTGATGTTGTCAAGAGAGAGGAAACTTTACAGAACGTGATAAATTCAGGTTACTTTATGTACTGTACTGTACTGTACTGTATAATACTGTACGGTACTGTACTGTACTTCAGTACAATACTGTAAAGAGCAGTGCAGTATTGTAAAGCGCAGTGTACTAATGTAAAGCGCTGCACACTACTGTATAGTGCAGTACACTACTGTATAGTGCAGTACATTACTGTATAGTGCAGTACATTACTGTGAAGTGCAGTACATTACTGTAAAGTGCAGTACATTACTGTATTGTACATTACAACACATAGCCCAGTGCAATACTGTATAGTGAAGTACATTGCTGGATAGTGCAGTACAATACTGTATAGTGCAGTACATTACTGTATAGTGCAGTACATTACTGTATAGTGCAGTACAAAACAGTATAATGCAGTACAATACTGTATAATGCAGTACAATACTGTATATTGCAATACAACACTGTATAGTGCGGTACAACACTGTATAGTGCCGTACAATACTGTATAGTGTAGTACAATACGGTATAATGCAGAACAATACTGTATATTGCATTACAACACTGTATAGGGCGGTACAACACTGTATATGCGGTACAACGTAAAAAAACTGTATTGCAGTTTAATACTGTATAGTGTAGGACAATACCTTACAAGTTTAGTACTTTACAGTACCGTATAATGCAAAACATGCACTGTAAAATTGCAATAAACCTTAAAATACAGTGCTAGACTGTGTTGTCTGTACTTTACTGTACTGTATTTTACTATACTTTTACTTTGCTGTACTCTATTAAACTGTATTATAATAAGTTGCATCTTTATAATACTTTTCTGTAATTTCGTGTACTCTACTTTACTTAAGTGTATTGTACTAGTTGTACTTTAATGCGCTGAACTTTGCTTTACTGCACTGCACTATACTGTCCAGTACTTTGCTATAAGCTGTTTATCTGTACTGTAAGAAACGGTAGTGCACAGGGTTACCCATAAAAGATGAGACTGTAAAGACGACCCTTAACTCTTAAGCTTTGACGTTTTGAAGCTTAATTTCTGGTTTCTTGAAAGTAAGAACAAGGACTTAATAAATTTCGTACAGTCGTCTCCTAAGTCTCATCCTTTGTGGGTAACCCTGTATCTTAATTTTCTTGAAAAACTTTTAATATTTTACCCAAAATATTATTTCATTATTAATGTTTCCCTATTCCCAACGCTGAGAAAATTAAAATGTTTAGTTTTTAAATAAATATTTGTTGTTGCTGCCAAGGGAAGAGAACAGACGGGGGAGGTAATTTTAAACTTGAAACTTGGGAAGTTTTGTTTTCGTTTCACAAAAACAAATATTTTTAGCTTTTAGCTGCTAATTAATTGTCGACCAAAGTGTAATTTCAAAGTTTTTTTTCATTCGTAACCGAAACTGAAAAAAACTAGTATTTCAGATGTTTTGGAGCGAAATAATTATACATGATCATTTGTTTTGAAAATAAGTCACCTGAAATTAAAATATTTTTGTTTCGGTGATGTAATATTAGTGTAGGTTTTATAAAGAAAGTAATTAGACGGCCTAGCCTATTTTTGAAACTAATTTCGGATTTAATCCTTAAATAAAATTGAGATTTGTCCTTATATACTCAGGCAATATATATCTTAATGGAATTAATCTGAAATTTTCAAATATGGACCAAAAAATCGCAATTGAAGCTTTGCATGGTCCAATATTATGTATTTTTGTAAACCTAACTCTTGACTGTTAAATGTTTCAGTGACCAGGAATATCCGGTCTATTCTGCTGACCTTCCTGTTTGCGGTCATCCTAGTCTATATCTTCTCTATCTTTGGATACGTTCTATTCCAAGGTATGAGTAAATCAGAGACCCTTCTTGTTCTGTCTGATACCAGAAGTCAAATTGATCCTATAGTGATGGCAATGTAGAATTCGTACACTCTCCGTACAGCTGTATTTTTAAGTGTCAACAGTTTTATGTGACGACAAAATTATTAATAATAGAGATAATTAAGTGCTTATCTTACATTGCAATATTTTGTTCTTTATTTTCTGTTTTTACAATTTTTTATTTAATCTTGGAAACCATGTCAACTAATGGGAAAAATTGTTGTCTTCCTTGTTATATTTGACACTTGTGACGTCATGTATAAATTGGTCCTCTTCTCTGTTGCGCCACCTGTTGTACTTGATAATCTATTCGCCAGATGTCAACATTTGTGTGGGTAATGTCGCGATTTTAGCACGCTTTATCTCGATATTCACTTGAATTTAAATTTATCCCATCGTTTTAAATATCATTGATCGTGCATCTAAAAAAATTAAAGCAACTGCGTTTTGTCAGAAACTATGGTTTCCAACCCTATATCTTTGCAACCCAAAGTGGTTTACCTTTGATAGTTCAAACTATTAATTCTGTTAGACCACATAGTCTTAAGTTGGAAATAACAAAAGTGAACATCATCAGGTTGCAAAGATATAGAGATGAGAAAGATAGAGTTTGTGACAAAAGCCCAATCCTTTTTACATATCACTTCTTTAATTTTGAATACAATAAACAACACACAAAATGTAAATTTAATTTTTTTACAGATGATTTTCTGTTGGATACAACCCCCATTAGTTCAATTACCCCAGCTGTCAGATGTTCTGACAGCTGTCCTGCAGACAGACTAGATGACAGTTGCTGTGATAGTTCTTCAGGCCTGCTGTCTGGTATTATTGAAGAACCGGAAACTGTAAAAGAAAGGTATTATTACCATTGTATTTGATCATAAATAATTCACTATTATTAAAAAATATCGTCTTTCAAAGGGAAAATGAAATATAAATGTTATTCTACAGGGTGTCTCACGAAATATGACAGTTAAAGATCGCCAAGTTGATCTTTGAAACAATTTGCGGCAATCATTCGTCAACTTAAATTGACAAGTAAAATTCTTGGTTATATATGGAGCCTTATTTTAGGACTGAGCCTATGATATATTTATCCTCATGTATGTAATACTAGCTGAAGGAAGTGCTTGGCGTTCCCCGTGGGCAATTTTAAATCACTTTTGTGGAAAAAATAGTACACATGGGTTAATTGAAAAATTTCAGCCAATTTGGTCCAGCCGTTTTCCCAGATGTATAGCTTTTATTGTCTAGATTCATTTTTGGAGACTGAAACGCTTTAAAAGACAACGTCGTAAAATTATTTTTCTATCCTTCTTAATTTTCTATCTTGTATTGTTACTTTGTATTTGGCGTACAGGATTACATTTTTTGGTTAATAACAAGAAGGACGACATTCCCCGTAACAATCCAATTAAAGTGAATTGTTCTAAGCTTATCATATTCTTCAATGCAGTAAAACGGCTGGAGTAAAGCGCTTAGGATAGATTAAACCAATCTTAAAAGTCAAGTCACAGTTTTTTTCTATAAAGTCGAGTTCTTTATTTTTCAAAGTTGTATACATCAAGGTATTAGAAATAGAGGGGGCATTGCTAGAAACAACTGTCTGTTATGAAGGCACTGAACTCTGTACAATTCATTCCTGGGGGTTATATTATTTAGAATCAAAATTTTCATCATTGAGCATCATCTAATATTGAAGAAAGGTTTAGATATCCTGAAGTGGCACATTTCCCTCGAGGCCTTTCAGTTTTTATTAGGCCTGAAATAATTAACTTTACAAATCTGTCACCTAATTGAATCTAATATTAAAAATATTTGAAGTTAGGAAAAAAAGTGGATTTTAAAATGAAATTTAAATTTTTTCATAAAAGTTGAACAGTTAACTTTGCAATCTTCAAACTGTAGCAAACATTTTTTATTAGGGGTTCAGTATTACTATTTTAATAGATTTAGTGTGAACTCTTGTGGCAGAATTATGAACTACATTCAGTTGTAGAGGAAGAATGTTGTCAAAAATATTCAATTAATTTTAAAAAATTACAAATAGCAATTCCTACAACTTTCAGAATACGAATGAATAGAAAAAAATTAATGAAAGGCAAAAATAATATTCTTTTGAAAAGATTTAAAAATTCTAAAATTTTACTATACAGAGGGTAAACCCTGTGTACTCAATGATACCCAGTGAACTAGGAGGGTGAAATATTCGACAATTTCAACTGTGTACACTCTACAGCCATTCAGGGTAGAAGCTAGATAACTATGTAGGAAAGCCATGTGTACTCAATGATACCCAGTGAACTAGGAGGGTGAAATATTCGACAATGTCAACTGTACACTTTCCAGCCATTCAGGGTAGAAGCTAGATAACTGTGTCTGCCCCCTGGTTGTATGGAAGGTTAGATATTCTTGATGCCCTCCGCACTGAACTAGAAATGTCGTTTTCATAGCAATAGATACTCAAAATCCTCATATGACGTCACTGATTACTAGCGGAAGATGAAGTGACAACGTTATTGGTGAGAGGGGGTGGATTTTCTCCGCTTGTCGGGTTCCGTTATGAAGACGACATTGGAGCTCATCAAGAGTATGTAACTAACTATACAAACTTGGTACTTTTAAGAAAGTTAGAATTGCTTATATTTTGATCTTCTCGAGATTGTCGTTTTTAATTTGACTTGTAGGTCCTGTGATACATTGAAGATGTGCTTCTTGTCCATCTTGAACCAGGGGCTGAGAAACGGAGGAGGGATAGGGGACGTGATGAGACCCCCCTCCAATACAGAGCCCCTGTATCTGGTCAGGTAGTTATTCAACTTTTTATCTCAAGAAGATGGGGGGGATATAATGTTTAACCCCGCCCCCCTTTTCATTAGATATAACTTACCTTTACAAACAGTTGACTCCGCAAGGATATTTAGCAATAATTTCTTCTTTAAAAGCATTCTCTTAAAATCACAAAATTTTTATATTTCAGTAAAATTCTTTAACTTAAACTATTAAGAATCATTTATTAAACTCCAGCTATATCTTTATGTATACTTTGCTTGTCTTGGTGGTTGTCTGTTTGTAGCCAATAAACGTCAGAACGGCTGAACCGATAGGGCTTAAAGTTGTTTCAGGCAACACAATGGCCCCTGGGAATTACAAAAATGTGTCTCCAAAAATTCTAGATTTTGTAAAACTTCTAAAATTCCACGAAAAAAATATTATTAAATCCACGAACTTTTTTGTTATTGTTTTTTATTGTACAAAGAGAAGATGCTCACAAGAGCCACAATAAAAAGTTAGAATAGAAAATGGGCGCCTGAAATCCTAGTTGATTTATATTTTGTATTTTTGTAAATTAAATCTTGAATAATAATAATGTTCAGAGTAATGTATGACATGGTGTTCTATTTCCTTGTCATCATTATTGTTCTCAATCTCATCTTTGGTGTCATCATCGATACTTTTGCAGATCTCAGGTTAGTGCTAAAGTTTTTGCTTCAGAGTCGGAATGGGCTAATCTTATTCTTTTAAATTAACAAATCTTGAAGCTATCAGGTGATGGTTAGAGATTGGACCAATTTGACTCCCAAGATTTCCATTTATAGCTCTTTCTGAATCAAAAGATTCCGGCTGATATAACAAAAAATTTCGTACAATTATTTATCATTCTCAGAAAGCTTGATGATTCAAATGGAAATATATTTAGGTATCATTCAATCTTATAATTTCACATTCTTAAAAAATGTGTTTTGTCGGTTTTGAGGCTTGAAGACTGCTTTAATTCTTTTTGTATGCTTAGATCGGAGAAACAAAACTCAGAGGAAATTATTAAAAACACATGTTTTATCTGTGGGTTGGAGAGGAAGGTACGTCAATGACCTTTACTGATATCCATTACTTGATCCATTTAACTTCAGACATCTTTTACCTGACCCATCTGACCTCATTGACATCCATGACCATATCCATTTGACCTTACTGACATCTTTAACCTGACCCATTCGACCTTATTGTCATACATGACCTTATCCATTTGACCTCACTGAAATCTTTAACCTGACTCATCTGACCTCATTGACATCTATGACCTTATTCAATTGACCTGACTGACATCAGTGACCTGACCTTTCTGACCTCATTGACATCTTTGACCTGAATCATTTAGCCTTACTGACATAAGTGACCTGACCTTTCGGACCTCATTGACAACCATGACCTTATCCATCTGACCTCAATGACATCTTTGACCTGACCAATCTGACCTCATTGACATCTATGTCCTTATTCATTTGACTTGACTGACATCAGTGACCTGACCTTTCTGACCTCATTGACATCTTTGACCTGAATCGTTTGACCTTACTGACATCAGTGACCTGACCTTTCTGACCTCATTGACATCTATGACCTGAAGCATTTGACCTGACTAAAATTTTTTGGAATATTTACTTTTTAGGCATTTGATAACAGAAATGTAACTTTTGAAGAACACATCAGAACAGAACATAATATGTGGCATTATCTTTACTTCATCGTACTTATTAGGGTGAGTAGAGACTTTATTGGACTTTGTTTTAGAAACATCAAATAATTAATTTTAAATCAGTAGTTTTGACATTTTACAGAGGTTCTTATGCTGGATCTATACTGAAAAAATCTAGCTCTAACAGACTAACATGAATTTTTAGCTCAAAAATTTAATTGGAATTTTAAATGATACAGAGCAGGACTTTAAGGTCTTGAAGGTTAGCCGGAATGTGTAAACGCAATACGCAATATATATGCATCACACGCTTTACAACAAATACAAAGTTGACAAAGCCCTGATAGTTGGCTTGGCTCACAAATTTAAGAAATTCAGGTTTAAGACCAAATCTAAATGATCTTTGTCTGAATTTGATAAATTTAAGCCACGTCTCAAATCCCCCCAAAAATTTAATACAAATTTCAGTGGAACCAACCATATTTGAGCCGCGGCTTAAATTTAAACCGTGGATAAAATTCTTTAAATTCGACCTCTGGATCCGAAGAATTGATTTGATTAACCGGGTCAACAAATTCTACATTTTTGGGGGAAAATGATTTCTAGATACATAATACAACAGGCCCAAAATGAGGATTTTTTAAGTTTCTATTTTTCTCTTGTTTTAGGTAAAAGATCCAACAGAGTTTACTGGTCCTGAGAGTTATGTACATCAGATGGTCAAGGTATGACAAATATTAAGAAATAAAAACTCTATAAAAATTATACATGTGTCAAAGTGAACCAAATCATAAATGACCAAAAAAATATTGGCCAACATTTTTATTCAATATTTTATTTAAACAGTAAAAAAGGTCAAATACAGCAATAAGGAATTATACAAGATCTGAAATCACATATTTATTAATTCATATTTGTGCAGGACCGATGTTTGGATTGGTTCCCTCGCTTGCGCGCCATTTCCCTTGCTGTTGAGGAGGTGGAGGGTGAACAGAATGAATTACGAACACTGCAAGCACAGGTACACTTAAAATAAATGTCGTCCTACTCTTGAAACAAATATCCTACTCTTCTTGAAACAAAATATCCTACTCTTGAAACAAATACCCTACTCTTGATACAAATGTCCTACTCTTGAAACAAATATCCTACTCTTGATACAAATGTCCTACTCTTGAAACAAATATCCTATTCTTGAAACAAATATCCTACTTCTCTTGAAACAAATATTCTACTCTTGAAACAAATGTCCTACTCTTGAAACAAATATCCTACTCTTGATACAAATGTCTTACTCTTGAAACAAATATCCTATTCTTGAAACAAATATCCTACTCTTGATACAAATGTCCTACTATTGAAACAAATATCCTACTATTGAGACAAATATCCTACTCTTGAGACAAATATCCTACTCTTGATACAAATATCCTACTCCTCTTGAAACAACTATCCTACTCTTGAAACAAATATCCTACTCCTCTAGAAACTAATATCCTACTGTTGATTAAATATCCTACTCTTGAGACAAATATCCTCCTCTTGAAACAAATATCCTACTCTTGAGACAAATATCCTACTCTTGAAACAAATATCCTATTCTTGAAACAAATATCCTACTCTTGAAACAAATATCCTACTCTTCTTGAAACAAATATCCTACTCTTGAAACAAATATCCTACTCTTGAAACAAATATCCTATTCTTCTTGAAACAAATATCATACTCTTAAAACAAATATCCTACTCTTCTTGAAACAAATATCCTACTCTTGAAACAAATATCCTACTCTTGATACAAATGTCCTACTCTTGATACAAATGTCCTACTCTTGATACAAATGTCCTACTCTTGATACAAATGTCCTACTCTTAATACAAATGTCCTACTCTTGAAACAAATGTCCTACTCTAAACAGTTCAAATACAGTTTAGTGAGTCCAGTATTTTTCTTATTTTATCATAGAATGTACCGAGTCTTTTGATTTTATGGAATAACCAAAAATTTATAAAATTTATTAATTTATAAAATATATTAAAATTTATGTAAATTTGTTCAATTAGGTTATTTTCTCTTTGCATACATTGAAAAACAAACCATAAAAATTTGCGGATTTTAAAAAAAATAAGTCATGGATTTTTCAATTTTATGAAAATCTAGTTTTGTTGGGGGCAAATCTATGAAATTTTGATCATTCATTAACCTTCCGTGAGTTCATGTGAAGTTTCACACAGAATTTGGGCCCGATCGGTTCAGAAGTTTTAACATTTATTGGAAACAAACGGACAGACAGACAATCAAAATATAGATATAGATGTTAAAAAAATAGCAAAATCGAATACCAAAAGTAAGTTGTTTAACATTGTATAAAATATTAAATAGAGGCGCTATTTTATTTTTATTTTACAATTTCGTGCATTAGTCCAATAATAAAGGTGACATTTATTAAATTAAAATTTTTTAAGATTTCAAATCCCTTCTTATTTTAGTTGGAGGCGACACAGAGTATTATGAATAACTTATCAGTTCAACTTTCAAACCTCAGGTAGAGATATATTTATAATCAGTAACAAATATATGTTTAGCTACATTGCTTGGCTAGTTTTACTGGATTTGATCTGAGCTGGAAACTAATGGGTTGGAAACTTTTGATTGCTTGATCTCGATATCCACTGTGGGCACTTTTAATTTGGGGATCTTAATGCTTAATCCCTTCAACCCCTGAAGAACCACGATCACTATTCAGGATATTATATTAAGATTCAATGAATCCTCAAATCAACAGAAGATTGAGATCAAACATTGATCTTGATATTCACAATACAACAGTTCCCAGCTCTGATTGGATGGAACGGAATTGAACACGGAACGGAACGGGATGGGATAAGAGGGGATGATAGTTCTCTACCTGTGTGCTCAGTTAGCTGTACTGTACACTTACAACTGTTTACCAGGGGGGAGGATAGTTCTCTACCTGTGTGCTCAGTTAGCTGTACTGTACACTTACAACTGTTTACCAGGGGGGAGGATAGTTCTCTACCTGTGTGCTCAGTTAGCTGTACTGTACACTTACAACTGTTTACCAGGGGAGAGGATAGTTCTCTACCTGTGTGCTCAGTTAGATGTACTGTACACTTACAACTGTATATTATAGGTTAGGCCGGAATCAACTTATAATAAACAAATATGCAGTACGCTCTCGGTATAGTTGTGGCCTGTAAAATTAGTAAAGGATTAGCGTACATCATCACTCTATACACTATAACATCGTTGGATGGAATGATTTCATTTGAATTGATCTGAAATTGAATAGATTTGGCTATATTTGGCTGTTTTTATTAACTTGAAATTTTGATTATTTTTAGAGATCAAATGACGGAACAGAGAAAACTTAAACAACGAATGGGTAAGTTTTCATCCATGTATTATAAAATTTTCATAAATTCAAAAATATTGAATTAAATAAATTAAATAAATTTAGATAAATATTTTTTAAAATTATAAATTGTTTTTTTTTATTTTTCTTCAAATCTTTTTTTTGATCAAAACTTAATTTTTTAGCTTTAAAGTGTTGATTTCTTTGTTTCAAAAGCAAAAATGCGCTAATCACTCTGAAGAGAAACCACAACTAAACAAATTATATTTTCAAAAAGAAGAAGATTCGTCTCATTCTTCATCAGAAAGAATTTAAAGGGTTCACATGTGAATTGGACTTTCCACATTTTAAGTTAATTTATGACTAGAATCCCTTCAATTAGTTCTAAATATTTAGGTTTGCTTCAATCAGGACCAAGCTATGCTAATCTGGGAGACCGGCATTGAAGTATTTTAAGAGATTTTACAGAAATGATGGG